AATTACAGTTAGAAACATCTAAATCAATTTTATTTCTAATAATAGTTGTTTAAAGAATTCCTTATATTTAATTAATTTTTTATTATGATTTGGAATACGTTGAAGTAAAGACGATGTGCAAAGATTATGATCAGTGAATTCAGAGTTATTAAATATCTTAAAATCATCGATTAAATAATTGCAGTTAGTATTGCACGATACAAGGTCTAACACTACAATATATAATTGACCCAATGATCACTAACAGAACGACCGCTACAAACAATAAAGCAACAATAAATTTAAAAGATAGAATAAACAAATATTTAATGATAAAAACAATGAGACAAATTAAAAGTAGAAATTTCTTATGTTGAGAAAATGAAAAAAATCAGTTTGTTGGAATTTTTTGTCTGCCAGTTCCAACCCCTTCACACGGATGATTCCAGCTGTGAGTGTCTTGTTTATCTTCGAATAGCAATTAGAGGCTGGAATGATTTGTCAATCATGAAATGAAACTTATATCGTTTTTAGAACGCGTGTTTTTAAAAGCTTCATGTAATCTGTAACATTATGGTTCCATATCCAATCGTTTTTTTTTCTCGCCGTTTGTTCGTAGCGCGACTTGTATTGTTTTACGTCAACTGTTTTCACAAATGAGGTGAACTTTTGTTTAAGAGTTAGCAACAGAATGTGTGAAACTTGCGTCTTATGTTTGATGCCTGATCATGGGCAATGCAAATGTACGATTCCAAACTCATATTATTTTTGAGTGTGAATCAAACCATGATGAACTAGTAAAATTTACGTTTTTGAGTACACGATATTATATTATTGCGATTTTGTCAGAAACTAAGGAGGTTGATGGGACAAATTGTTTTTAAGAAATAGGACGGACTTTAATCAACCATATCAAGGCGATGAAACTGAAATATTTCAGTGATTACTTGGCACCGACCAACCAAGGATTGATATGATTTGATAAAGTCAAATCAATTATATTTCTTTCCTAGACTTAACATTTTACGAAAAATCCATGTAAAATTTGCACCTTAAACTAATAAATTAAAACTGTCGAATGCAATGAACCAAGGAGTGTATGATTTTGATGAGGGTATATCAATTATACAGGGTGTCCTTCTTAGATGGCCTGGCTGAATTTCTCTTCAACCAATGACGCTATCAAAAAAGCAAAAAATACGCGTTTAATATTTTTTAGTCTAATTTAAAATGTTTACTTTTTTGGAGAAAAATTATACAAGGTACCTCAGGCCCAGTTCAACTTCAAAATTTCAAATACTACCTATAAATCTTGTCACATAATTTTAAACGAATTTTTACGCTGAAAGCAATGGTGCAATCGTATCTTAAATTGGTCAAAAAATGACAAAGTTAGGGCAAAAAGAAACCGGCAGCATAATTTCAACGAGGAGGACCTACCCACTTCAAACTAATAAATTAATACTGTCGATTGAAATGAACCAAGGATTGATATGATTTTGATGAAATCGTACCAATTTTATTTTTCCTAGACCTAACAGTTAACGAAAAATCCTAGTGAAATGTTTTGCACCTAATGGCGGACATCTGATGACTGATGTACAAGCATCATAATCCCCACATTTCTAAAGAATGACAAGCTGATATAATTTTCGAATATGCAACACACCAAGCCGATCTAATAAATAAACTAATTAATTGGCAATTTATGGTAGAATAAAGGTTTTTTTCTGAGATCTGGTCAGAGACGAGAAGTTTGATGGGATGAACAGATTTTATGAAATAACATCGGGATTTCTGACGTCTTTCCTGGCATTTTTGCATCTTACCAAGGCAACCAAGCTGACAAAACCTTTAAAAAAATCTATGTGAAATTTTGCACCTTATGCCTGATCATTGTCGTAAAACTAACATGATCTCATTTATGAAGGAACACAAGCTGATATAATTTTCGAAAGTGATTCAAACCAAGCAGAATTAATAAAAAAAATGCTATATGGATTTTATTAAGTTAAAATTTCTGCGATTCCTAAAATTATCGAGACTTTTGAACCAAACGTACCAAGGCGAAATAGATGACAAACTGTTTCTGTGCCTATTCCGAGCCTGTCAACCAAGGATTGATATGATTTTGATGAAGTCATATCAATTATATTTCTCTCCTGGATTTAACATTTTACGAAAAATCCATGTAAAATTTGCACCTTAAACTAATAAATTAATACTCTCGATTGAAATGAACCAAGGATTGATATAACTTTGATGAGGGCATATAAACTATATAGGGTGCCCTTTTTAAATGGCCTGGCTGAATTTCTCTTGAACCAATGACGCTACCAAAAAAGCAAAAAATATTTAATATTTTTTAGTCTAATTTAAAATGTTTACTTTTTTTGGAGAAAAATTATACAGGGTAATCAGGCCCAGTTTATCTTCAAAATTTCAAATACGACCTTATACATCCTGACGCATTATTTTAAACGATTTTTTTTCGCTGAAAACGACAGTGCAATCGTAATTTAAATTGGCCAAAACATGACAAAGTTATGGCAAAAAGTTTGAAAAAACTCATTTCGATTGTTTTGTTGTTAATTCCAATAATTTGCTTATTCACTAAAGTAAACATTAATTGCCTTCATTGTTTACAATCTTTCACTGTTTGTCTAAATTCACATTATAAGAGCAAATCTTAATTCTCCGAAGTAAATAAATTTTACAATAGTGCCTATTCGTTACAACCAGTATTCCATTCAAAATGATCCGAAAAGCAAATTTTTCCGATCAACAGCGAGTTGATATATACGGACTGCTTTATTGATAGTGGTGTACTGCGCGTCGTGCGGTCGAATTGTACTCCCAGAAATTTCTTGATCTCCCCAGAGAAAACCACAAATATCATTAGAGGTGAACTTGGATTCATCAGTCCATAGGATGTATGGAAGAATGTCTTCCTCAGCCTCCCAAATCGATATTTGTGCAAGGAAAGTTAGACGCCTGTCATAATCAGAGCGCCAAAGTCCCTAGACAAAATGAGAGCGATACGGCTTAAAATTGTAAGTCCAGAGTACATCTCTAATTCATTTTTTTGAAAATTCTAAAACCCTTCTTACATTTCGGAGAGAGGAATTCGGATTTTCGCGAACATACAGTAAAATGTGTTTCTTAGTCACCTGTTGTTTCATAATTGAAGTCGTGAAAAACACCGTTTTCATTTTTTGCAGACATTTCGACCTTTATTCGGGTCATCTTCAGAGCTTAGGTAAATTACAAAAAATATGTTGATTGGTTAAAAGTACAATTTAAAATGTAAATATAAATTTTGAACCAAGTATTTTACACTCACATCAATTGTGGTGCTATTCTTGTGGTAATAATCATATAAAAACAGCAGAATACAAATTCACGTTTCACAACACTTTCACACAAAGCCAAAATGACACCACAAGAATAGCACCACACTTTATGTGAGTATGAAATACTTACTTCAAAATTTGTATTTACACTTAAATTGTATTTTTTCCAATCAACATATGTTTTGTAATTGACCTCTGAAGATGACCCGAATAAAGGTCGAAACGTCGGCAAAAAATGAAAAGGTGTTTTCCTAAACTACCTCATTCGTGACCGCTCCTCACGTCTTCAACAAGATACAGTAAAAAATATTCACCTCCTCGTCGAAATTACGCTGCCGGTTTCTTTTTGCCATAACTTTGCCATTTTTTGACCAATTTAAAATCAATGATAAAACCATTGTTTTCAGCGTAAAAAATCGTTTAAAATGATGTGACACTATGTATAGGGTAGTATTTGAAATTTTGGAAGTTAAACTGGGCCTGAGGAACCTTGTATAATTTTTCTCCAAAAAAAAGGTGAACATTTTAAATTAGACTAAAAAATATTAAAGACGTATTTTTTGCTTTTTTGATAGCGTCATTGGTTCAAGAGAAATTCAGCCCGGCCATCTAAAAAGGGCACCCTGTATAATTGATATACCCTCATCAAAGTTATATCAATCCTTGGTTCATTTCAATCGAGAGTATTAATTTATTAGTTTAAGGTGCAAATTTTCATGGATTTTTCGTACAATCCAGGAGAGAAATATAATTGATTTGACCTCATCAAAATCATATCAATCCTTGGTTGACAGGCTCGAAATAGGTAGAGATTTCGCCTTGGTACGTTTGGTTAAAAAGCCTGTAAAAAGGTCACCTCTTTTCTCCTAGAGTTAGCATTTTACTTGAAATGCTTATAAAATTTGCACCTTGAACTGATATGTAAATAAATACTGACGATTGTTATGACCAAGTGTTGATGTGATTTTTATGAGACCGTATCAATTTTATTTCTCGCCTAGAAATTTATGAAAAATTCTTGTGTAAAGTTCACCTTAATGGCATCGCCTGATTGTTGACATAAAAGCGTTATCTTTAAGAATATATTTATCACCTAGCTAACGAAACGTTTTGAAAAAAAATTTTTGTAGTCCGTCTACCAAGGATTGGTATGAGGTTTATGAGCCAGTATTAATTTTACTATTCATTGACGGTACATATCTGGAAAGTGTTACGAGCTGGTAGGAAAGTCGGGAAATCCACTTTTATACAAATGTAAGTAAGCGGAACGGTGGGATTCGCGTAAATCGTGGATGTCCACGCCTCCTGGCCACCTTCAGAAAGCATTTTTTTCGTTTTAATTAAGCCCAATTTTCAAGGTGAAAAACGCCACCGTGCGTGCACCAATTTTTTTGCCAAAAATTTTTTTAAAATTAAACCAGTGGGAATAGGCAGACCTGGATATCTATTCAAGCAGATTCGTTCCAACATTCTCAAGGTATTTAGCAAATAAAAATTCACGTATTTGGTTTTGTAAATATCGTCCTTCACACGGCTGCAAACAGGTTGTTGATAGTGTCGTAGCGATAAAGAACGTTTATTATTGTTATATGAAAGAACTAGGTACACAAAAAACACACGGAATCGTGATTTAAAAAAATTCTCCTAAAAGTATAAAAAAAGGCTTACTTTTTGCAGCGTTGAGTAAATCCTTGAGCTCCTTGACCAGCTTTTTCATCTGTTGGCTCGTCTCCTCCAGTTCCTTTTCATGTGCGTGGAGCTTTTCCCTGAAATGAGGGCTGTCCGCGATGCACTCCGTGAACTCCAAAGGCTGAAGACCGACTCCCATTTTTGTCCGCTTTAGATAAAATTGTTTTCGACTATTTTCATAACTCGCGCCGGGCGACAAGCGAAACGAGACGAGCCCAAAGGAGCCGGAGAACTTGTAAAACGAGAACCCTTCGGCCGCTCCACAGCTGGTGAAATGTTACGAAGAAACGAATTGACGAGACTCGACGAGCCCACCGCCCCGACAACTGTTCGACACTGGACAGAAACAAACTGAAGCACCGCTGGAAATTTTGGAGTGGTGAGGAAGAATCCAGCGTTTAACCCCACCACCTCCAACACGGCTCCCCCCAGACCTACCGACCCAACTCCTACTTACTATCCATCCCAACGACCGACTAGCGACGACCATTCATTGCCGGTTTAACGTTCTACGAACACGGTTTATTTTATTTCTTTCCCGCTCTTCGGATCATATAAATAAAACTGCACAACATACACTTCATAAAACAGAAGACTTTTTTTTACATAAAAAATAGACCAGAAGTCGTCACATCCATATTTGTCTTCACAGGCAAAAAATCACTTCTACTTACTAGCATTCTGCATTTTTAAAATTAAGCCTCAATAATGCACTACTATAAACCCATTGGTCCGCATATTCTCGCTATGTAACGTCTCATACTTCAGTCATGTATATGACTGACAAAAATATTTAAATAATGTTTGTTAGTTACCTATCGTCTTGGTCTGCCCATCCTCGCTGCTTTTTGTTGGTTCAGGCAGACCAAGATGATAGGTAATTCAAACGATAGGAAGGCACTAAAAGGTGGAAATCTTACCATATACAGAATAATAGTTAGTGGTGGATGTCTGTAAACAATTACTGAAACTAGTTAAATGATTTGGAAAAGAGAGACAGAGAGAGTGAGAAAGAGAAAGTGCATATATACAAGATAATAATTAAAGTTATTTACAAGACACAACCTCTTTAACAATAATTCTTGTCAGGTTTGAATAAAGTAATTGAATTTCAGTAAATTGATCGTCTACATTCATGATTCTAAATAAAGGGGAATGCTTTAAATAATTTGTTTTGTTGTAAGGAACGCAAAAGGTGGGTGAATTTAGAATGTAATGAGCAGATGGTTGTAGTAAAATTATAGAGAGAGAGAGAGAGAGAGAGAGAGAGAGAGATGATGGGGTCTACTTGTGTATAAAGAAGTGGATGGAGGAATAAAATATCAAAATAATTTCTTGGGGCGAATAGGTTCTGAAGTTTGGATTGATCTGCAAATTGTATGTGACGTCCAAGTGCTAGGAATCTAAAGAATTTTCTTTGATTGAAAAAGTTTATGTTAGAAGGGATTCCAGATGATTGAACTAAGTATAGGCATTACTAGTGACTACTGAGTGATAGTGGATGTTGGAGTGGTAAAGACATGGATATTTCGAATAATGAATCCTAAAGGTTTTAAAGACTTGTTGCTTATGAAAGAGATATGATCATTGAAGATCATCTTTTCACCAAGCAACCCTGAGATCAGATACATACAGCGTAGTTAAGAGAAGAAGATGAGTGTAATTGATTTTGGGTACAGATTTTTTTTCCTTGCCACTCCATATTGCAGATTGCAAGATTTTGAAATTACTAAGAGTTACAATGAATTAATTTACAATTTACAATAAGAATTAAATATAAATTAATTGAAGGAAAGCTAATTTTAACACTTAATTGAAACAACTGATTTAAAATAGAGCAAAATTCATTACATTAATAAACTTTTTAAAGCCTTCACAATATTTGGAAATCAATTTATTTAATTGTAATGGCCATTGTCTATTTCCACATGACTTGAAAGTTTAAGTTCTGTTTAGAATTCATGACAGGGAAAATTTTTTAGCACTTATTTCCCACTTTCCCAGGATTTTAACATACTCTTTCTAGTTGTTTCATAAAGGTGAGAGGTAACTAACTCGTAATAGGTAAACTTGCAAGCAGTTATTCAGAGCTGCTTCTTTGCCTTCCTATCCACTTCCTCATTCTCTGCCGTTCCGATGTGACATCACTCACTCAAGGCATGAATAATTTCTTGAAGAAGGGAAATATCATCGAGGACTCACTGGATTAATAAATATTTACCTCATCTGCAATAGAAGGAAAGGAACTTTAATTAGAGTTTGATATCATCACTAAAAATATTAAAAAGAAGTAGTCCTAAATGAGAGCCCTGCAGAACTCCCAAAGGGACCATTTCTTTCGATTAGTAGGATTTCACTTTTTAACTATTTGATATCTATATATATAATATATATAATTTATGAAATCATTTCACATGCTTACATATCCAACATGAAGTGGTGGTGTTTTTAAAGAATTACTCCTTTTTTCATGAATACTTCCACCAGTTTTTAATTTAAAAAAACTTTTGGACGAACACTCAGCCCGTCTTCAGTCTTTTATTGGAGGTCTTAACATTACTCCAATAGAAAGAAAAGTATAAGAAATAATTATTGGGTTAAATAAGAAGAAACTCGTACAGTCGTACTCCTGAATGGTCGTAATTGAAACAAACTGTACTCCTATCAACTTGGTGCTTGAGAGTAGAGTACCTTTAGGATAGTATATCATAACACGTAATTTCATGTTTAAATTATTTTATTCAATTTATCGCTCTGCTCTACCACAGCGATTACATTTAATTATTTGTTTATTTTACTGATTTTCCTGCCAACCATCTAACCCTATACTCCCCCAAAACAGAGCAATCAGATAAATAATTAAATGTTTTCAACTACCCTATTATTACACATACTACAAAGATAAAGTCGAGGTGATATTATAATTTTAAAAAGTTAAGCTCTAGAATCTAGCCCGTTATACGATGCTTGATAAATTGCATTTTGTACTTCAACAAGTAAGTTACTTTTTTCAATTCTGCCCACATAAGCACTTGTGTATATACATGTGACCTATGACTTCTCATGGCAAGCCAAGAAAACCTCCCATTTCGGTGACCCGGGGTCGTACCTTGGTCTTACCTGTACCACTGCTGAAGTTAGGCTCAAGGGGCTATCAACAAGTTCTTTTCAGCCTCCAACACATGCGGTTTTAACCTAAACACTCTATCATTTATTTTAAAAAAATGTTCCCTCTCACATCTTTCCCTCAAGTACCCCCTGGAGTACTGGATATTCCTCCATCAATCTTTATCATCCTTATGAACTTACAATATCTAGTCTAATTGAGGGTCGATGAGGTACTTCATATTCAACATCAACACTCTTGTACTACATACACATTCAAACATATAAATATTCTTTCGCAAAATAGTTAAAACACCACTAAATATACATATATATACTATATCAATAGTAATGATGGTAATATAAGGTCAATACATAAAACCAACTTAACAAACATGGTACTAAATTTAAAAAAAACTTACTGTGAACATCTTTTTAAAAGGATTGAACACCACACTCACTCCACCATTTATCATTTCTATTTATTTTGGACTGTTTGTATAATTTTAATATTGATTTTTTGGTACAACCCCATAGGTGAATACCATATGTCCACATTTAGGGCTTGTTTGTATATTTTATTTTGTAGAGTAAGGTTGGAGCCGTCCTATCAACCACTATAGTTGCCTATACCTTAAACCAATTTCTATCCTTTTTTGCTTCATGTGTTCTTACAATCTCAGCTTGGCATCTAATGACATTCCCAAATATTTAGCTGTATGGTATAATAGTTCCATTGATTGTGCAAGACAGAACATGGTCCTCTTTTTTGTTTGTTTATATGAACTAGTTATGCTGATTGATTCTACTTTTTTTTGTCCATTTGTTAATCTTATTACAAGCTTTTTGACAAAAACCAAAGTATTTTGGTTGAATGGTTGATGGTCAATGCTAGGCAATGAAATGACATTTATGGCAGCTAAAGAAGTTGCCTTGAATCCTGAAATTCAAATAACCTGTACACCAGCAACCAAAGTGGAAATGAAAATTACAAACTAACCCAGGTTATCAATGGCCATGTCTGTGGGTGAATATTTTTCAAGCTTTTGGATAAATATAAACACATGCTGCACCTGAGAGTCAGCCATTGCAGACATGAGATCATGTATTATACGACTGTCCTTTACATGAAACAACTTTATAGCTTAGTTTATTGTAATAGTAACTCCAACAAATGACAAGTGGCCATCATCACAACACATTCTAGTAAAAAAGTATATTACCGAGTTTAATAAATTCATTTTAAGTATACCATATTTGTGATGAAATATATTAGTGAAATAGATAGATGATAATAATTACTGTCATAAAAGTTCACTGCATGAACAATAACAATTAAAATTATTATGAAAACAAACAATGTAAATGTAAACAAATGAAATATTGAAATGTTCAATAATTAAAAAAGAAGTAGATAATTAAAACTCAGCAAAATTGAAATTTGTGTATTATAAAATTTAGTTCAGGGTAACAAAATTGTGAAAAAAAACCTCTTGTCCTATGTCTGGGGACACAGACAACCACCATCGTTTTGCCGACACACTCCAGTTCAGAACATCTTTCCAACAAGAGCATGAGGAGAAGGTCTTTAGAAGAATATGAACTGTAGTTAAGAAATTTAGCAAGAGGCTAAAGAGTGGCAAATTTTCCCCACACTGATAAATAAATAAATAAAAGATTAAATTACTTACCTGCAAAAAATTTTGTGTAATATCTTTTTTTATAAGAATATTTAACATCAAAATAGTGGGAATAATTTTGCCGTAGGGTATTAATATATGTAACTTTAAAAGTGGGAAATGGATCATAATATTCATAATATCTTCACAGATCCAAACTACATACAAAACGTTTTGAACTAAATTTCATACAGATATTTTCCAGGGATTATCACTACGAATAAATTACTTAATAATTAAACCACAATTCAGTTGTTTGGTCAAGTGAAAGATTATATTTATTTAGGTAAATATTTAATTTGAGGTAATGAGGTAAACTTTCTCAAACTGTACTCTTGAACTGTTTATTCATATTTACATTTAATTACATAAAATGTGCATACATGTTAAATTTAACAAAAGAAATTGTACATCACACTTTGGAGAAGGGTGGTTAAATTGTATAAGTCTTTGATCCAAGTATCATTATAAAAATAAAATCTGTATTCATTTCTTTAGAGTGCACATTTTCAAAAATTTCCAAAATCCCATTAAAAACAAAACAAAAAAGATACATTCCGGAGATTATGTTGTAAAGAATAATTCCAAACTTTAGATAATAAATAATGGTAACAATCTGTTCAAACAGGTAATAACAAACAAACATGATAAACAAGATGAGAAATAAAATATTTATCATGGAAAAAATGCTTGTTTTTAATTGTAACACCACTTATACAGGGTATTTTTCATCACAATATTTTTGGAATGCTTCCAAGTTCTTTCCACAAAGAATTTTACTACAATCTGAAAAAAACAAAAAAAACATAATAATAATAATTTATATTAGATTAGCAAAAATGACATAGAAATATGAACCTCTGAAAACATCTCTAAAATATGGATCTTCTGCAGGGAACAATACAGCTAGTTTACTAATTAATTCATCCAAATTATGATCTTTATGAAAATTCCTTATCACCATATCAAACTGAGCATAACTTTCTTCTTCTAAAGTATTTTTCATCTATAAAAAAATCAATGTTTTAAGTTTTAACAGTGTAGATTGCTAATCCTTAAAATCAAATTATATTTTGAATACTTTAGAAACGAAACAAGAGGAAAAAACATGAAATTAACTCCTGATAGTTGAAATAAACAAACAAAGATATTAAGGTGCCATAATTTATAAAGGATTTAAAAGACGGGCATAACTAGTACTGAATTGCATCACAAAATAATGTAACCATCTTCTTGCTAAAGCAAATCATCATTAGGCTTTAGTTTTCAGTACATCTCATTTTGTCCAAGTTAACAACTTTTTTTAAAACTCAAAATATGTTGACTTCTGTGCCAATGAAAGGCAATTTGTGGGAAGCTTTATTTTTATGCTTTCATTTGGGGAAAAAAAGCAGCTGAAAGAAACCATGCTCCATTCCATCAATTTCAGTTGTGAGTACTGGTTTAGACGGTTCAAAGTGATTTTGATATTGAGGATAAAGAACATGAAGGAATGCCAAAAACGTCTTAAAGATGCCGAATTGGAGGTATTATTGGCAGTAGTTTGATCACTTATCCTGTTCTTCTTACCCTCACTGCTTTAGTTTGTCAAGACTCGTATCGACATTTGGCTATTTTCAGTAATTGGTCAGTTAGTTTATTTAGTCGGCTGTTGTAAAAGTCCAAAGAAGTATAGATATTATGCAGTATATGTGGCAAACCAGGGTTTTGACATTCTGATCATACTATGACTGTAAATTTAAATCAGACATGAGTCAACAATGTTAAGCAGCTGACAAATTTTCAACATATCGATCACCCAACAGGACAGAACATTTAATTTACAACAATTATTCATTTTGTCAATGAACAGGTATTTATATAACATTTAGATAAATTATTAAAAATATTACCTCCAAAATGAAATTTTTTGCATAATTTATCTTTTTTACTTTTTCTTTTACAACAGGATCGCAGCTATCAGCTCGAATATCTCCAACCATGAGAGGCGCTACAGCGATCTTTCTTCGTTTTGCTGGCTGTTTGATTTCTCTATTAAATTCCCCAATTAAATGTAAACTTCTAGGGGTCTGTAATTTACGTGCATTTGCCTGAAAAATTGTTAAAACAATAACCTCATGAAAACTTAAAATATATTCTTCTTAAAAAGATTACCCATTATAGGCTAAAAGACGGGAAAAAAAACGGACACTTGTATATTGTTGTTTATGTCAAACTTTATGTATTTTTATCGTTATATTAATTGCTATATACTTGATTTAATGTAAACCAAATTAAACAAAATCAGAAATTCATGAGTTATATAAAAAAGTATTAACTATTATGGTTTCAAAGAAAATTCACTAAAACATCAGAAAAACATTAAGTGATAATAAACAAATTATTTTCTAGTTTTGCTTTTAATAATGCGCATTACCTCCTCTGGCCTCACAGAGGGCCTCAAGTCTCCTAGACTTTGAGTAAATAAGTAATTGGATTTCGTCTTGCGAAATAGAATCCCATTCTTCAACAAGAATATTTTGAAGCTGTTCAAAGCTTGTTTGAAGTGGTGGTCCATGTCTAACCCATCTCTTTATCATGTCCAATATGACACGAATTTGTCTCCGAGCGAATTACCACAGTTTCGAGAAGAACTTCCTCCTGCCAAAGAAGTTTGGTACGGGCATGGACGTTGATTCTATCCCATACCATGACTGTCTTTGAAAAAAGCTGTGACACATGTATAGCAAAGTGCTCTCCACGTCTTCCAGTAGTAGAGAACCTAATGAGAGACGTCTAAAGGCTAGGCTATTCGCACAAAGCCTTCTAATGACTGGTTTAGAGTTCACCCTATAACAATATTTTTAAAAACATGGAGCTTATCTCAAAGGATAAGCTAATCCCCTACCGCAGGCTCGGGCAGTGCGAGCTGAGCTACGAAAGGACAAGGAAGGACTCTCTCAATTTTGCTTGAAGGCACCTGCTCTTTTTCATGTAAATGGCAAGGAGAGTGCATGTGTTATAGATCACATATTTTTACTTTTATTTTTTCAAAATCTAAATACATTTATTTTTTTGAAGGCTTTGTTATAATTTATTTGGATCAGGTCCCAATTTTTGTCTTTTCCGTTTAATTTAATTGAGTTTGTGGCACAAATATTTTTTCTTATTTTTATTTTACACTCGCAAGGAAACGAATTTGCTTCGTGTGAAGGGGATTCACGCTAACACGTAATAACCCATACATTATGGAATGTTTGGACTCGACTACCTCTCAAGCAAGTCATTAAATAATAGTTTTATAGTGCAGTAAGGGCAATAAAATGATAGATGACTAGCCATTGTATATCACGGTCAACCACTACCTTCTCTTCAATCGAGACTGCCTGTGACCTTAAACCGCTGTAGACCATCATGGATGGTAGAGTGCGGCACACCCAGGACTTCGGCTATGTAAAATACAACATGTTTGTTGTTGGCCAAGGCAGTCTGTGTGCGATCTTTCTTACTTAAAACCATGCTTTTATGAAAAAAAATTTACAAAAATTTATTGTTTCATGAAAGAAAACAATTTAAAAAACTAATGAACTCTCTCAACAAGTTGGCTCTGGAAAGGATGAAACCGAACTGATTTTCTTTATTTTTAATCTAAAGAGTGTAAAAGGATAAACACTATAATGGTAGCCAACAAGTTATTAATATTCTATTTATGTTTTAAGTCAACTATTAATCTTACCTAGTTATTATGTTAAATAAACAAATAAATATAAGTGTCCGCTTTTTTGTCTTTGATCGATTATAGATATTAGAGTAAACATATTATGTATATTATTATGCAGATTTTACAATTAATTAAGGTTTTCAGTTGAGATAAAAAATTCAATGGCACGAGCGGGATACGAACCCACGATCTTCAGCTAGATACGCCGCTGCTCTACCACTTGAGTTATCGTGACCTCGATCCACTCGGACACCAACCTCCCATCACAACCACACCTTTTGATTTTTCCCTCCTTTTTGCCATTTTTCAAATGTAGTGTAATCAAATTGATTCTCACCGACAAATGAAATGGCCACGGAGAGCTTTAGTGAAGTATACTTCATTTTAAACTTATTAAATTCACAAGTTTCGTTGTCCGCTTGCGTGGGAGCGGGATCCCGCTTGTGCCATTGACTTTTTTATCTCAACTAAAAACCTTAATTAATTGTAAGATATTAATTGGACAAGCGGACCACGAAACTAGTGAATTTAATAAGTTTAAAATAAAGTATACTTCAATAAAGCTCTCCGTGGCCATTTCGTTTGTCGCCGAGAATCAAATTGATTACATGACATTTGAAAAATGGCAAAAAGGAGGGAAAATTCAAAAGGTGTGGTTGTGATGGGAGGTTGGTGTCCGAGTGGATCGAGGTCATGGTAGCTCAAGTGGTAGAGCAGCGGCGTATCAAGCCGAAGATCATGGGTTCGAATCGCGCTCTTGCCTTTGACTTTTTTATCTCAACTGAAAACCTTAATTAATTGTAACATATTAATTGGTCAAGCAGACCACGAAACTAGTGCATTTAATTACGCAGATTGTTTCTTATGAATTGTTTTTACATGGATGACTACAAAACTATCTACTGGTNAAACTTATGTACACACCCATACATTCTTGAATAAACCAGTTAATTTCTACTTCTTACTTCTGCATTATTGCAGTTATTCAGCTAATCCGAACAGGGCTTGGCCCCAATCAGTTAATACTATTTAGATTGTACTTACTTCTTGTAGTGGTAATGGATTTGACGAAGTGTTACTGCTGCTCTGTGTATAGCTAGTGTAAGGAGTAACATTAAACATTTGGCTTGTAGTTGGCTGGCATCTACGGTCCTTAAACATCATCATTAAAAAGAGTCAATACCTCTAGAAGATATCTTTCTTTAATACCAGTTGAATCCAAACAAGTTGTTGGGAGAAAAATGTCAGTTTGCAAAATATAATTTTTTTTCCAGTTAAATTTAAATGATATTAACAGATGAATGTTGTGGTCACTGCCAATTTTTCGCGACATTTTCACCCTTAAATTGTGAGGTCTGCATGGTGTTAACCCTTTCTTAATGTTTTAGTCCGTCAGGCAGAATTTAACTTGTCACCACCTTCAATTCTGAGTTTTAACTACACTGTTAAAAACTGAAGATGGCGAGATGTCAAAACAATGAGGATAGGCATATCAGAGATTAGACTTAACTACATAATTTTATTAGAAGATTATTTTTCAAAGTAGACATGTGTATATAACCTGATCCGGTATGTTTACATCACATGTGTGCATAAGTTTTTTAGGTTTTCAGAAAAAAAGCCAACATTCAAAATGTAAACGTAATTTTTAATCCAAAACATAATTTCCTTTGTTTTCTATAACATAAGAAGCAAAAAAGAAGAAAGAAAGGTTAAATCTTCAGAGTGTTTTTGTTGAAAAAACAGAATGGGCAAGGTATGGAGAGCATGTTGGAAGAGACACCTGCCATCATTGTATTATGCAGGGTGGGCGACCAAGACCTGAGGGGTTAAATGCCTGGGTAGAATTGTACCCCACCTGTCAGCATTTCTCGGCGATATTACTCTGAGTGCAGCTATGTGAGGCCTGACACTGTGAGGAACATTTTTCCTTCAACACTGACCCAAAACACTCTAGCATGGCACAGTATAGCTCGATTTACCATAGGGATCAGATCCTAATAAATTATTCCTCGAATATACCACCAACAGAGAATAGGGTCTTAAAAGGGAGGAATTCTGCTCTTGACGTCAACATGGATGTTTCACTTTTCTTGACTTCACACACTTTCACTTATTGTGCGATGTACCTGGGACTCTGATACAGTTAATTTGTCCTCATCCTCCAATGATACGTCGGTCTTAAGTTCATTAGACCTTCTACAACGAGGATTGTCTTTGATTCATCTCTCTCCATTACAAATACGTTGGAACCACTGTTCACTCACATATTCAGTTAATACGTTATCACCAAGAAATTCCACATAAATTTTGACAAGCATCCACCTCTCTATGCCCAAAATGAAACTCATATAGTAAACAATGTCTAAAATGTATTTCATGTATTTCCATGTCATAAGCCTCACAGTTTATTCTGAACTGGATTTTGGGATAAACTAGTCTTTTCTTAACAATCTCTTTTCCATCATAGAGCTAACGGGGTCAGGTAATAATGGATCACGTGTATAACAATGAAATTCAAAATTTGAAAAAATGAAAAAACTTATGTACACACCCATACATTCTTGAATAAACCAGTTAATTTCTACTTCTTACTTCTGCATTATTGCAGTTATTCAGCTAATCCGAACAGGGCTTGGCCTCAATCAGTTAATACTATTTAGATTGTACTTACTTCCTTGTAACGGCTTAAATCAGGATAATTGTGTTGACAAAAATAATTGCCAAAGCTTTGTGAGCAGCCGGGAATATTATTCTGTTGTATTTGAGTTTGGATTGTCGTCATCTAAAATTTTAACAAAATTGTCTTTAACAGGATTATTTTAAATAATTTCAATAGCATAATTTGCCCATACTTACCCGTGAAACGTTATGTTTAAAAAATTGTCTGACGATTCTTATAGAATCTCCGAAGGTATGTGCTGTGGATATTAACGGCACCATCCATTTTGATAAATTATTAATTATGTTTGGGCGAGTGAACTTAATATCGCATAATACGACAACTCCGAAATCGTTAATATGTCTGATTACCCGTCCTATAGCCTGATTAACAGCTCTGGTAGCTTCTAATTGATACCACATGTCTCCTGTCAATTCCTACATACAAAAATAATAAAGATTATTCACTTCTAAGATTAAAAAATGAACCAAGTTTTATAGAAAGTAACAAATATCTCTCATGAATTGTATTTATTACTAAGATATTTAAAGGGAAAGAGAAATTTTATACAAGAATGGTTACCAAGTCTACCAAATCAAGACAGTATACAACCTCAGTATATATTGCCTGACTTTATATGACCAACATGGTATGACTAAAAATATTGCTGTTTGATACATTTTTATCCTTAGGAGGAAATTTCACAACATAACAGTCCTTGTATATTGATTTATAAATTACGATTTCTTAGCACTGACGATTCTTTCTCTTATCTGAACTGTTGGATCCCTTTTGATATTTTCAGTTTGTGAATATTTTTCGTGAGAGACTTTGGTCAAATTCTTACTGTGATTGCTCTATTGGAGCTCAGATATTGTTTCTTTAATGTCACTTTTGGATCATACACTGGTGGATAAGGGAGTCCAAAAATAAAAACGGCACGCCCATAGTTATCACTAAAGTCCATTCCTTCTGCCAGTTTCCCACGGCATACGCCAATTAAAACAGCACCCTTTCCATTATTAACTGAACTTTTAAATTCTTCCATTAAAGAATTAAATGTTCCTTTACCAGCTTCCTCCACAAAAATAGGCTGAAATTGAAAAAAATAGTGTCAATACCTTGGATTTTTAGTGTTTTTATCATATATATTATTTTAATAGGTGAGCTGACCTTTGTAAGAACCAATCTTCCCCATAGGCCGGATGATTTCCAATTATCAACCGCTTTTTTTAGAGCTGAATATGATGGGAAAAAAACTAGGACACCATCGGGTATAATCCGCAAAAAGTTTTGTAGCGTTAGACCAATTGAAGTCCAATACTCTTGATTATCCCTAAAAAAATTTGTTCATTTACATTATAAGCAATTATTAGTAGATAAATAATATATTTACTCTTAATAATTTTTAATCTACAGTTTGTATTTCTATTGTAAGCCAGTCCCATGTTAGTATAAGATAGGAATAGTTGTTAAAATAAGTTTAAAATAGTTGAAAGGAATGTCAAACATATGTTATTAATAAGTTCATAGATCTGAAAGGCCATCCATCTGGTAAAGAGCAAAGAGAGGTTTCCTCCAACCTGGAAATCAAAGGAAGACTATAGAGTAATAGTCTTAGTCTAGTGTGGGAAGGTTGTCGCAGGCACAGTCCATACAGCTGTGGGACACCATAAACTATAAATGTGTGGTGATTAGTGACCGTTAATTGATAATTATTCAGAAGTTGAGAGATGCGGTCTGGTGTGATGTAAGTTTCAGAAAAACATTTTCTTTATCGTGCCAACGTTTCGATCTTTATTGAGATCATCTTCAGGGCCTGGGATTTACATTGTTTACATATAACAATTACATTTAGGATGTGGAAAAGTGAATTTATACAATGCAAAATATATTTTTTATATTCAATCGAAGTATTTCTACTCTCTCAAAGTGTTTATCTTCTGTGTAATTGTGCCATTCTCAACACGACACGCAAGAATGGCACAATTGCACAGAAGACAAACACTTTGAGTGAGTAGAAATACTTTGATTGAATATAAAAAATATATTTTGCATTGTATAAATTCACTTTTCCACATCCTAAATGTATTTGTTAAATGTAAACAATGTTTGTAAATCCCAGGCCCTGAAGATGATCTCAATAAAGATCGAAACGTTGGCACGATAAAGAAAATGTTTTTCTGAAACCTACATCACACCAACCGCATCTCACGACTTCTGAGTAATAAACTATAAATTTGGGGCCACATCAACTGGGTGGGCGTTCTACAATCTTCGCCGGATGTTCATAGATATGGAGTAGGAGGCTGCGTAATGGAAAATCGTACAATTAATTATGAGTTATTGCACAACGAACCCTTGGAAGAAGAAATTTGACCATCTGGCTCAGCTGTTTTTGCTTTTCCTTTCCTACCCTGCTCTGCTTGGGAAACCGGTATAAAAGGGGATGATGTGAAAAGGCAATCAACTTGACTACTCATCCCAGTCAAGTCGGGGGCTCAGTAAGATCAGTCAAGCAACCACACTCCATCTGGGACTCAGCCAGCAAGGACCAGCCATTGCGACAATGCAACAAGTGAAAGAGTTAACTGTCTGGGACCCAGGAAGCTGAAGGAAAAAGAACCTGGAAGACATGGAAGTTGGTATTAGTGAGAATCATTTGGGTAAAGTCGTCTTGTTAGCTCATCTCAGAGTTAGTGTTAAGTCTGACTTGCCATGATTGTTTGAATTTTTGTTTATTTTTATTTTTATTAAGACGAGCAAGTGTTATGATAAAATAAATGTTTACGAATGTACCTATCTGGTTTATTGTGTTTTGGAACCCTACCTTTCCCCTGCACAAAAAGTAGTTAAACGCATACGCTAAATGTTCTCTTATTATTTAGTTTAAGCACATAGAGCATCAGCATCCATTTACACTATATCAAATAATTTTGGGCAACATAATAAAAATTTGGTAGAAAGATTGTAATGAAAACACAATCACATGCATTTAATTGGGAGATAAAAATCTATCAAAACGAGATAATTATTTTTATATTTTGAAATGTAAAAACTTTTTTGCCAATCAACCCTTTGAAGAAATGTTGCAATGATCTCTTACAATTGCCTTGTCTGTACAGACTTATTTAATGACAAATGTTTTCTCCTTAATATAGAAAAACAGACAGTGTATTTTATAATAATGCTTCAAGTTCACAAAGGTCATGTGCCGATGTCTAGTTCCTCCTGGCAGAGCTGGCATGTTTCCGTCCCAGTTTTGCCCATCTTCTTTAGGTGGTAGTTAAGAGGGCAGTGGCCAGAAAGAGGGCCTATAATTCTCCTCAAATCCTGCCTGATTTATAATCTCTTAAGGTGGCCATTCGCGATCACTCCAAATGGAACCGCGCCAAGCCGTACAGCTCCATTTGGAGTGCCTGAAATTTGAGGGGGCATTCACGACCGCTCCACAGCCAGTCGCTCCGAACATCAACCAGTGAATTACCTTCTCAAAATGGATGACGATCTCTGTGCTACGCTTCTGTTTATTTATATATTAAAAACAAAAAATCGAAAAGGAAATGGTGTAAGAAGTGGCTCCTGAACAGAAGCCACAATACCCACATCAATTTGATGAAAGAACTTTCCCTTGAACCCGCTGATTGGAGGAACTATTTAAGGATGGATGAAACGTCTTATTTATTTATTATATTTAGTGTTCTATTGACGAAATTACTTCTTTCAATTAATTAATATTTTTTGTAAGATTTTGGTTGAAATGAAAAAGCTAGTGCCATGAGCGGGATCTGAATCCATGGCCTTCAGATAAATACGCCGCTGCTCTACCACTTGAGCTATCGTGACTTCGATCCTCTCCGACACCAAAAAATGGCAAAAAGAGGGAAAATTCGAAAGGTTGTAGGTTGAGATGGGGAGTTGGTGTCCGAGTGGATCGAACTATCGAAGTCATGATAGCTCAAGTGGTTAGAGCAGCGGCGTATTTAACCGAATGTCGTGAATTCGAATCCCCTCGACACTATTTTTTTCATTTCAACCAAAACTTTACAAAAAAAAATGTTTGTCTTATTTATATTTACTCCAGCTTGTTATCCCCTTGATTAGAAAACAAAAGACAGTTTTGAGAGAAATCATTACTACATGAAAGGTTGGCAACCACATTACGATTTCTCGCTACAGGGATGAACTACAAAGAATTTAAGTTCTCTACTACGATTTCTGATCAGCGTTAGGGGTTATCAATACCGCATCTCTCATTGCATTTGTATCATTTGTTTTGAAAACGTCGACCAACTGGTTGAGGACCAAATTTCTTTTATTTCTATCGTGGTAATCATTGTCCACCACTTTCCATAAACATGGTAAACTTTCATACAATTCAATCACTCAACAATAAAATCTCGATTGGATGTCATTACCAATAAAGAATAAATGTTTTTGACTTTTTGAGAATGTACGACGGAGATGTTTGCTCAGTGACAGAAAAACGGAGACTGCGCCAAAAAAAAACGCGGGTTTTCCGATTCACGACCAAGCCAGCGCTCCAATATTCCACCGTTCACGCCAGGTTTTCCCATTCACGAACACGCCATGCCATCATCGCACCGTAGATATTTGGAGTGGCGCGATGGAGTTTGGACCGGTTGAATATTCGGCACAGCCGGGCACGCCAGTTCAGTTTTGCCATTGACGTGGTTTTTGGAACGGCGTCGCTCCGTTTGGACTGCTAGGAGCGATCGTGAATGGCAACCTTTAGATTGCCTCACACCTAGAGTGTTTGTCCAGTGCTTGAGTTTTTCTTTCTCAAGCCATTTTTCCAGTTCCAACTTAAGCACACACTCCGGTGGACCAAGTTGTGGTTCTGGTCGCATGGGTGAGAGGGCTGCCCCTTTTTTTGCTAGTTGGTCAGCCTATTCATTTCCTTCTATACCTTCATATTTGGGAAACCACTTTTATGATAGTCTTTTTGTATTTTTCTAGAGCCAATAGGCAATTCAAGCACTCCCAGACAAGTTTGAAGTTGAAAGCATACTGGCCTGACTGTCTGAGAGTATGCAAATCTGTGCACCTTTCAAATTTTTCTTTGTTAACTCCCATGTACAGAAGTGTCTTGCATGGATCTCTGCTTGAAAATTGTTAGGATTAATCCAAGGGGCTTTGCTAGGGTTTAGTTTAGCCCTTTTACCTCTACATCTACACCCTTACCATATTCGATCCATCTGTGTTCCATCCCCTTCCTGAAACATGGGGCTACCTATCTTCCAAAGGTCTCTAATATCTATGATGAGAAAGGGTCCATCATAGTTGAGTTTTTACTCATTTTGTCAGGCATCTCATTTAGTTTAATTATCAACAAAATTGTTGTGATGACTCCTTAGATCTGACTATTTCCTTGTATCTCAGGAGTCTGTTTACACTATCAAAGCCGACTTTTGTACATAAATATGGGTGGAAGGTCGAGTGCAGTTTCCATTGCTATAGTAGGGCAGGTAAGCATTGCCCCTTTTATACTAAGACATTAAGAACTTTAAAAAGCAGATTATTAATCTTCAAATAAGATGCATTTTGAAAAAAATTATTATAAAAAATAATAAGATATCACCTGTTAGCATAGGAGCTGCGTAATTCAAAATTATTTGGTCCTTTCGTAAGCACAGAAACTGAGACCTAAATCGTTAAACATCTGTTTGTTAAATGAATTTAAACTTTGCTATTACTTAGCAAATATCAATATTTTAATTAATAATAAATAATTAATTTAGACATTGGCAATCATACTAACCTGACTCTCATCGATGACATGAGGTGATTCTAAAATAATTGCATTTTCCAACCCAAGCTCTTGCACTGTAGCAGATACTGGTGCAAGTGTCCCACTTGTTATTATTAGACTGTATACTCCAAGAGCAAGAAGGTTTTTAATACTACAAAAAATGATTGGACGTTAAAAAAAAATCTAATTAACAACAATAACCTCTAAAAAATAAAAAGTAAAACATATATACAAAGTTTTCTGATTAAAAATATGTATGAAAAGCAAAATAACTTTTTAACATTTAAAACAAATCTGTAAAATTCAGCAGATATTGAGACTTAAGTTGTGTTATCACTAAAATGAGCAAAGTTGACAGAAAATGGAACAGAATAAAATAGAAAGTGGTTGGTGAAAACACTGTCTGATAGTGACTGAAAGTATTTACTAATTAATTTTTATTATGCATCTAAATATTATTTCTGAAATACTGGACAAACAGTGTGAACAAATCCATGCAAAGAACTTAAAACTTTTTTTATATGAAGGTTCACAACAGCAGAGGTCTCTGTAGGGCAGCTGGATTCAAACCCAGGGCCTTTACTTGAGTTGTGAGCTCTGTGTCAATGCCTTAACCATTGCGACAGCCAACACTCCCTTTTTGGTTATTATATGCAGAAAATAACACGAAATATTTGTATGAGTATACAACATATGCAAATTACTTACGCAAAACCTGGATGAAAACACCAAAAATTAATTTTCTTTGCATTTGGATTTTTGACCTTAATTGTTGACCAGGAAGGTCGATCTGTCTCTTGGGGTTTCTCTCGCTCAATGTACGTCTTAAAATATTGAGTTTATTGTGAAACAAAAGTTATAAAAAAAGTTAATATTAAACAATTCAAATACCTTAAAATATAAATTAATATTATGTTCTTTCACTGAAAACAACAACTCCAATGTCTCAGCTATTTTTCTCAAGGCGTTTCCTCTATTAGAGGTACTTGCCTCTTTATATTGAAGGACTTCTTGTAGGGACTTAAGTAATGAAATGTAATAATTTGATGTTTCATAATTTATCTAGAATAAGACAGTAAAAATTATGACGTGAAATTTTAAAATAATTTTTTAAAACATTACCTGTGCCTTTGATAATAATGTGTACATGCAGCTACCAGGATATGTATTCTGAGATTCAATAGGTTTCAAAGGAAAAGAATCAAATTGCTCTTCCAAATTCAGCAAAGTCTGTTTTACATTACACAAGTCATCATTGGAATATTTTTTTTCAATAGGGATATCATTTCCTGAACTCTCCTCATATATGTCATTCATTTCCTGTTATGTATAAACAGCAAATATTATGTATAGTATAATCAATAAATGAAGAAATATTGAGCATACTTTTGTTAAATCTTCAAGAGCCACAGCTAAATCACTACTGGTTAATGTTATGGATGAAGATTCCTCACATACTTTATCTACATTATGACCTTCATCAAGAATGACAATAGTGCTCTAAAGAAAAAAAAATGTATGTAAGTACACATGTATCAAGAAGAAAAACAACATAACAAATGCATACATTTAGGTTAATATTTAGTTTATTTCTTATTTGAGGCTCCAACAGATAATTGTATGGCATAAAAATGATGTCTGCGTTTCCCTGAAGGTCTCTAGCTAAATAATATGGACAACATGATTTTTTCTTTCCAAATTTAATCAAATCTTCTATATCAACAACGCCATTTATTAGAGCTGGATCTTTAATAGCTGCATCCACTTGGTTGTTGTAGTGGCATGATTTTGCCTTCACGTGCATAGCACACAAAGCATTCTGTAAAAATGGACCGAATTAAACAAAACTAATAAAAATAATACTAATGTTTATTTAACAAAATAAAAAGGAATTTACACTAAGCAAAGTACATGAACATTAAACAGCATGGTAAATACCATCTGACGGAGATTGAAGCCACATATCTACTCAAACAAAATAAGAATGAAGAAATTGGAAAGAAAAAGGTAGAAAATTTTTAAGAATACATTAAAAAAATAATAACTTCTGATATATCCACATGAAAAAATGAAATTCCTTAATTAGTTCAAAATTGTCCTGTATGGGGAATCTAAATTCAGAGAGGACACACAGCCAAGGAATGAATCCTCCTTCTCCCTGAGGTTACACAGAGCATAGATTGAAAAACCAACTTAACTCATTGGCTGAAAGTTCAATATTATGGGCAAAAAAATAAATAAATAAAAAACTGAAAAACTGACTGATGAGCTGACTGCACTGACCACATACACGGATACACTATTCCCTATAACATTCATCTATCTTATGACATATGACAATTAACTGAGCACTCCACTTGTCCCAATCTTCCAAGTTAGAATCGAAATCACATGAGTATCTCTTCACCAAATTAATCAAGTGTTTGAAGCAAAATGTTTTTCTTTTAACAACTTCCAAGGTTAGAATTCAAGAAAAGCGTTGAGTAGGCAAATTTAGAATTTTAACACAATATCACATGATGGCCCAAGGTGAAAAGTCAAGGTCTCAATTGATAACTTTGATTTGGGGGCTAGCCAAAGCAACTTCTTAATAAATAAAAAGTATCCTGGCCAGGATCATACCAACGACCGATATTCCCATCACACGCTGATACAAACATCACAATTATAATTCAACGGTGATCAAAAGTTACAATAAAAAATAAAAATAATAAAAAAATATTTAACAAATGCAGAAACCCTCAACAATGAGCACCACAGCAGACAACTGATTGAGAAACAGCTTTAAAAAAATAATTTTTAGTGGAAGGAGAGACATTTCTATTGCTAATAAAGTCATTCTACAACTATTGATATCAAATTTAGCCATTGCTATTCTCTCTGTTAAATAACAAGTCATGGGCAAGATTGGTAGAGGGTTATACCCAGAATATTTGTACTGATTAACAAAAATTAAATAAAAGTACAATAAATCAATTGTTATTAATAAGCATATGTTTGCTCGTAACTATTACAACAATTAACTGTAAACATTTGTTGCCTACAACAACACTTTCCCAGAAGTTTCAGAAAAAACGAAAGATTGCCAGGTCTGGAAAGCTAAATCTTATCAATCAAAAGACACGAGGTGTTGGCAGGCAATAGCCACGGTGGCTGGCCAGCAAGGAAAAAACTACTGGAATAGGTGTTTCTCAAAAGACGTATAATTCTGAATAAGCTTGAAATAATAAAACTTTGATTAAATTTAATATTAAAAAAAAAAAAAATCATAAAATATACCTTAACAGAAAGAGAACTTTCTTTTGACACAACAGGATGGATGCACAGCTGATCCCGAGATCCTAAAATTGTGGCCTTAACATTTTTATAAGGTGTAGCTTGAAGTTCCTGCATTGCCTTTTGCAACTGAGAATGTGTTCGAGAGCAGTAAATAACTCTTTTCCTACAAGGTTGGGCTGAAATAAATCATCCATGTTAATAAACATAATGATATAATTGTTTTTAGTATTAGAAGTATCGACCACTTTCCACATTCACAAACATTCTGGATCAAGTGACCGACTCAGTCCTAACATTGCCAAGGACTGTTGTTAGGAATGAGTGGTCTTCAAGGAAGTTTGAGATCTGTAAAAACATAAATATGTCAGTCTGTAGACGTATTTAAGATTGTTTTGCCCTGATGATGACCTTAAATAGGTCAAAAGCTTGGCAATAACAATTCAATTTGCTTTATTCTTCAAGATCATGCCTTGATCCAGAGTGTTCATGATACAATTGAGTTCAGTAAAATCACAGTATTTAATGGAAATAATTTATTTACCTCCCCAAACTGTCACTAATGCTTCTTCAGGGTCATCAATATAATTAGGCTGCGATGGCATATTTGAGATAGAAGCTGTTTTCATGTTTTCATTTCTAACCCATGCTAAAGTACTGCACAACAAACTGGCGGTCTTCCCAGTACCTGTTGGGCTTTCTAAAACTGCATGTATGCCCTACAAATTATCTTATTTTAGGAAATAAATCTGAAACCGATATTATACTAATACTGAAAAAATGAAAGATAATTTTCTTGAATGGTTAAATGGTGAGATCTTAGGGCAAATACAATTATTAACCATAACACAATCATCATGGACTTGTATTTCATTATCATCAATCTCTTCTACAGTCAATCGATGTGAGGTTCCCTTCTTATACATCTATCTCCATCCTTCTCTATTCTTCATCAATAAGCTTCGGTTACTCCACGTTTACTTACTTCTTACACCATCCTCCAACGTCCTCCACGGACTGCCTCTACCTCTCTGTCCTTCAACCATGCCTCACTGACCATCTAGCCACCCTATCGGAGCCCATTAGTAGGAAATGCCCAAACCAACATAACCTTTTTTCTTTATGCTGGTTGTACTACTTATTGTAGTATTACATACCCTATCTTTTCTGGTTTTTCTCTTGACCTTTGATGTATCACATTTCAGTAGCCTGTAGCTGACTTATGTTTCTTACTTTTTGTCCAGGACTCCGATGGGTAAGTGAGTATTGGGTGAAACATAGACTTATATAGTGGAGACCTCCCTGTCGTTGAGGAAGCCCCGACTGCAGTGAACAACCTACTAGCAGCACTTATCCTCTCTCTCACCTCTATATCTACCAACCTGTTTACTCTCAGGTGCATTCCTGTACTCCTTAATATACCCAAATCTCTACCTTTTCCCCTCTTATCCTAACAACTTTCATAGCCCTGTGCGGCATTTTATTTGTACTAATTATGATTGTCTTTTCCTTGCTAATTGAATTATTAACCTTCTCCAACTCCATTTATAAAATGTTTAGACTATAAGGTCTCTGTCATTACTGACCGATACCAGCAGCTAACTTGGCAGCTTTCATATCTTTATCCTTCAGGATCACAAGACTGCACCCCTGACGGATTTCATTACTTTGTACTTCATATTAATTAAATTAACTACATCTTAAAAGTTGATTCAATATTGATCCATTATATAATTAAAAAGTTTAATGAATTACCTTTCTCAGAGCTTCAATCACCTTTTCCATAAAAGCTGTTTGAACTGGATATGGTTGAAATGGGAATTCCACATTGATATTTCCGATCTGAACTGGAATCATTTTCTATAGCAAAAAAAAAAAAAAAATAGTAATAATAAATAACATCAACACAACACACAATAATGACACATTTACACAGAAAACAAACACTTTGAATGAGTACAAATACTTGAGTCGATTGAGTCTAAAATTCATAGAATTGTATAAATTCATTTTTTCGCATCCTACATGTATTTGAATAAACGTTGGCATGATAAAGAAAATGTTTTTCTAAACCTACGTCACACCAGACCGCACCAGACAGCCTCCATATAATAATAAATTGAAACAAAAATCTCAACATTTCAATATTCGGATATAGGAACAAAAAATGTGCTTATAATGTATACATTTGCTGTGTAGTGTTTATATGAAATTAAAAATGAATGTTTCAATTGATATGACTTACTCTATAGAGGGAGGCGTGTAGCATGAAAACTTTATTGTGTTATTTTTATACCTGCTTTATTCAACACAATGACAACCAACAGCACACCTTCATAAAAGTATTTTTTACTGATTTACATTAATCAATTTCGGGGTGCTGCTATGAAACTGGGCATTTCTAAAGTCAAAACTTAATTAAATTTCATTGATTTATATCTTGTTAGCAGAACAGTAAATTCTTAGGGCTCTTGCACACTGCCTGGAAGGGCCGGATTGGCAAAGGTCGCACATATTAGGTTGCCTCCGGACAACCTAACCTTAGAAGAAGGGTTATCCTCACCCGATTAAGGATAGGCCATGCCAGGTTGACACATTTACTTTCGGAGAAATTTGCTCGGTGTGTCCTACTTAATCGAAGGATGTCATTCCTTGTCCCAAATACTGATATTTTTGTGTCCAGTAGTGAGTGTTGAGTGAATGTATTTATTGGTGTGAGTGTGTAATGAACAAGGGTTGATGGCAGAATATTGAATACCCCATTGAAACAAAATTAGGTTTGTTAAATGGTGATGGAGGAATACCGATGTAATCATATGTAAATAGGAAAGAATGTATATAAGAGTGAGTGAAAGTGTGAATGGGAGACGTTGGTGACTGAAATTACCCAGCTATTGATAGCCCCTGGAGCCCAACCCCGGTGGCTGTAGGGATAAGATCGGGGCTGACCCCTGGACTGTCAACACTCAGGGTGGTGATTCTCAAGGCCTACCAGTAATTTATTGTAAATGACAAAAGCTAGAATTTCCAGTGGACTATGAGAAGTGACAGGCTCAACTCTGTACATGTGTGCATATTTGAGCTTATGTAAATCTGTAATCAGTAATCAATATACTGCCTGCTAACAATGCGATGCAATATCGCAAAGCAAAGAGTGTCATTTTAGATGATTTTAGATGTAGATGATTAGGCGGGGTGTATTTTATACAGCACCCTTTAAGAGCTGTTGTATCCCCTGTTCTGTGCCTGTAGCACACCGGTGAGTCTATTTCATCAAGGATTTTGATTAGTAGGCCCAGTTTCAGTGGTTGAATTTCTTCTACGGTCACATTGTACATCCCAAAGCACTTCCTCCTATGGGCAAGTGCAAGTAGCAAGTAGTTAATAGTTGTGTCGGTGTCTCCTGAATCTTCTTTGCAGTCTGGGTTATACCAATCTTCTTTAAATGTCAATTTATTTGCAGTGTCCTATTAAGAATCCTGTTAGAACTCACAGTTTTTCCTGTTTCTTCTGATACATTCTATTACCTCTTTCCTTCCAAAATTCCAGAATAGGAGGTTGTTGGATTGTTTGTCCAATGAGAGAGTTCCATTGTTCCCTCATTTTCTTTTTATCCTTCTGTCTGGGGTACTCATTGATAGTTCCTACACCACAGAAGGGTTCGGGTCCTATCAGCAGTGTAGCAGCCCCTTTTCTTGTTGGGGTATCCACTTTCTTATTGCCTTCTACTTCCATATGTCTTGGAACCCAGCAGAGGCTGCCTTTGTTCTGCGAATGTAATATGTTTAATTTGTTTTTTCAGTTCAACACCATCTTTGAACTAATGATGTTTGAACTTAGTGCATTGAAGAGTGTTTGGTTATCTGACATTAGTCAATGACTTTAAATGGACCAGTTTGCAACCTGTTTACATTGTGGGCGGAGCTGAACGATGATGTACAATGAGCTTGCTGAACGCAAACTGTTTTCGGTTTTACACAATCTGGACAAGCTCTTTTTAATCTTTTCTCTACAAAATGGATATTAAAGCACTAATCCTTGATGACTTGGATCCCTAAATTCTCAAATTATATTTACACATACTTCGATTATGAAGAAATAAATGTATTTATTTTTACAAATAAAACTAATTTCTTACATATTGTGCTGTATATACTACCAATAAATTAGATCACAATAGGTCTACTCAGGTCGAGGTGCAGAAAGCCTTGTGGGCTGCCCTTTTTATCCTTATCAATAAATTAACAAATTGTTACCAATGATCTCTAGTAAATTTAATCTAGTAACGTGTCAATTGGAATATTTCAAATAAGACACGGATGTCCGTCGGTAGAAACGAGACGGGGCGAATGAACACCATGAAAATCGTTCTGCTTCATTCGAAATTGATGCAAAACCCACTTACTTCGTGAAGCCGGATGGACGGAAAATACAATTACGAGACGTTTGTTTCACGATGGAATGTCATTGGCGGTCAATTTACATCAAAATTTAAATTGTTAAATCCCACAACAACAACAAAAACGATCAACATTTAACAAGCAACCGCTACTGTCCGACATCAGAAAGTCATTTTGCCGCCACTTGAAAACAAGACATGCACGAGTTGAACCTTCTCGGAAGGTTGTAAAATTTGAATAGAGTGAAAAATGTTCAACTTTGAAAAAAGTTTTACATTTGGTTGGCCAAAATATATTTCAGTTCAAATTGATTTACAAAAATGAACATATAGAATCCGGGTAGGAAAAAGTTCAATTTAGACTAAAAAAGTGGAAAAGTTCATTTTCATTAGGGAAAAAGTACAGACTAGAAAAAAGTCTAATTTGATTGGAAAAAGTACATTTAAACTAAAAGACGGAGAAACCTTCAATTTCAATAGAAAAAGTTGAATTAGTCTTTTAAAAAATCTTTTTTTTTTTTTGTCGCGAGAGTACGAAATCACATTGGCCATGTATAGCAATTTTATTTTTTTTAAATAGTTCAAATAGACTTGAAAAACGTGGAAAAGATTATTAATTTTGTTGGGAAAAAGTTCAACTGATCTTGAAAAAATTTCCATTTGATATGGAAATAGTTTAGTTCCATTAAATTTAAATTTCAATCAATCTTGGAAAAGTTGAATTTGAATTGGAAAAAGGTAAATTTGGTGAGGGAACATCTAATTTGATTGAAAGAAGTTCAATTAAACTTGAAAAAAGTTAATAAGATCTGGGGGAAAGTTCAATTAGACTTTAAAAATGTGGAAAATTAATTTTGATTGGGAAGTTCAATTAATCTTGGAAAAAAAATCAATTTGGAATGGAAAAGGTTCAATTATACTAGAATAAAGTGGTAAAGTTCAATTTGTTTTGTAAAAAGTTTATTTAGATGTGAAAATAGTTCACTTTAAATTGAAAGAAAAGTTTAATTAGACTTGAATAAAATGGTAAAGTTCAATTTGTGGAAAACATTAATTTAGTTGAGAAATTCAATGAATATTTTAAAAAAAAGTAAATTTGGATAGTAAAAATTTCAATTAGATTTTTAAAAAAATTCAATATGATTCGGACAAAGTATATTTATTTCCTTTGTAGTTTTATCTAGCTTGTTTTCCCCTATTCTCGTTTTTTTCCCATTCTCTACTTCGTATTTTATCCCCTTGTCTGGTAGCTATGTTGAGACATTTGTCAGTTGATCGCACGTGACCGTCCTGGTCCGCTTTATCTCGCTGTATCTGGTTATCCGCTGAACGACGAAACGTGATCAACCGACAGAACGAAGCGAGAACGGGCGGACCCGGATGGCAAACGTTTAAATAAATCCTTCCGACTTTCGCTTTTTAAATTGTATCCCCTTCCCGGTCGGATCCTGGACGAAAAATGGCGGGCGGTCTACACTTTTTTCGTAAGTGTTGTGATTTGGCGTTACCTCCCCAGTGGTTACATGGGTCGAAGGTTATGTCACTCGTCTTATCAACTGGACTGTAAAAACTGCTCCAAAGTCGTGAATAGACAGATCTATTTTTAATTTAGTGATGTGATCCATCCGCATCTTTCCACTCCCTTTAACAATAAATGCCACGGAGAAAAACAATAATTAATGTCTAGTCCGATATTAGGCAGACCGATAAAATGGTATCTCTTCTGAAAAATCAGATATTTAAACACTTATCCAGGTAAAGTTGGTTTTTTAAAATTTTATTTAACTTTCCTCGTTTATCGCTCTTTATAGACTGACACGCTTTTCCCACCTGTAGACTCTGTGTAAACCCTAACAAGAAGTCAAATTTTGACACTTGACGTTCAAGAGCTTCCATTATTCTATTTATTTATTTATTTTAAAGGTAAAAGGGGGCTTTAAGCCCTCTTAAATATACATACATTAGAAATAAATTTAGCTTGACAAACATAGTCAAATAACAATAATAAGTTATCTTGAAATATACAAAACAATAATGACAATAATATATACTTTAAAATATTATTTATAATCGAATAATGAAACCACATTACGAAAGAAAAATGCAAAGAGAAAAAAGATAAAAGGAAATTGAAAAAAAAGAAAAGGAACAGGGAAGAAAAGGAAATAGTTTAAGTTGATTGTAAATACTCAGGCTGCATGTACCTGAAATAAGCCATTGAATAGTCTTAACACTGCAGTTCTGAAGGATTTTGCGATTGGATAAGGAATGAGGGAAAAAGTTGATATATATTGAGGACATTTATTTGATTTAATTGTACATATTATAAATAATAAATATATAAATATAAATTTCTCTTAAACCAATGAAGCTATTTAAAAAAATATGTATGTTTGTGTGTGTTTTAATATTTTTCAGTCTAGTTTCAAATTTTTACCTTTTTTGGAGAAAAATTATACAGGGTACCTCAGGCCCAGTTCAACTACAAAATTTCAAATACATGTACATCCTGACACATCATTTCAAAGGATTTTTTAATGCAAAAAACAGTGGTACAGTCGGATTTTAAATTGGTCAAAAAATGACAAAGATATGGCAGAAAGTAAAAAAAAAGTCTTTGGCTTGCTATTTATTAATCATGTTTAATGATCGATCTGCCTGCCCAGATGAAAAGATTTGCTCTTTTTAACCACCAGTGCTCAGAGCGATAGAGTCAGGGAGATTGATTGACAAGCAGTTTCTATCCTTTGCCGCAGTTCTTCAACTGGTTTGCTGGGTTATGATTGGCATAGACACTGCTTTTTAAATGGCCCCACCGAAAATTGTCAAGCGGAATAAAATTGGGTGACCAAAGAGGCCAACAGATTGGCCCATGTGGTGGCCTATCCTGGAAGTGACAATTGCAGGGCATTCATCTCAAGCTCTTTGTTGTTGTTGCAGAGGAACATAATTTAATAGTGTTGGTAAAACCTCCATCAAAAAATTGAGGAACTGAGGACCATTTAAATTATTTTTGTAGAAATAAGGCTCAATTAATTTAATTCTGAAAAGTCCACACTAAACGTTGATACTGTGAACCACTTGATGGTGATGAGAGTACAAAATTTTTTTTCCTCTGTTTTTCCTCTGTCCACGTTTGAAGATTCCAACCGTTTATATGCAATTAGAGGTGAATTTGGATTCATTAGTCCATAGGATGTATGGAGGAACGTTAGACGCCTGTCATAATCAGAGTCCCAAAGTCCCTGGATAAGATGAGAACACAGATTAAAATTGTAAATCCGGAGTACGTCTCTGATTTTATTTTTTTACAGTAAAACATTCAGCTCCTTGTCGAAATTATGCGGCTGGTTTCTTAGTGATGGTACAGCAACTGATCCGTATCTCCTCATATTTTGAGCAACACGAATTTTGTGGTTTACTCTGGGGCGATCAGGAAATTTATGGGAGTACATGACTGCATGACGCGCAATACCACCACTATCAATAAAGCAGTTGTAAATATCAACTCACTGTTGATTGGAAAAATGTGCTCTTCGGTTCATTTTGAATGGAATACTAAATGTAATGAATAGGCACTATTGTAAAATTTATTTATTTCGGGGAATTAAGATTTGCTCTCATAATGCGAGTTTCGACAAACAATGACAGATTGTAAGCAATAAAGGCAATTAATGTTTACTTCAGTGAAGAAGCAAATTATTGGAATTAACAACGAAACAAATGAAATGTGTTGTTTTTTTTCAAACTTTTTGCCATAACTTTGTCATTTTTTGACCAATTTAAAATCCAATTGCACCATAGTTTTCAACATAAACATCCTTTAAAATGTTGTGCCAGAATATGTAGGGTCTTATTACTATATTAAAACTCTAAGTTTATCAGTGCTTAGAATGTTAAGGTTGCTGATGACATTAATTTAGGAAGAAATATGACCCCTTGGTTTAAGATCATAATAGTATCTGATGTTGGAATGATAAGCAATCTGTAAGCGATGAGCAGATTGAGAGTCTAAGGAAAGAGAAAAAATAGCGCTACAGTAAGAGAATAAAGGAATTATTAGGGATTGAATAAGAACTAGTTTTCTGTGGAGTAAAAAAGCCAAGGCGTTGAAGAGAAAAAAGGCCAGAATGGTGTTGAAAATAATACACAGATATTTTAACTATACGATAAAAATTAATAGGGGAGCTGTAGATTATTATGTTTGTTGTTAGTATGTTATTTCAGGGGTTTTTTCTGTCTAAAAAGAGTGTTGCAAAAGTCAAAATACTTTTATCACAATCCCTTTCTGGTTTTCCATAGTTGCACATTGTATGTAGTTATACAATCAAGCCATGGATGGTTTATTTTTACATGATTTCACTCGCCCATTTATAGTGATGGTATAATATTTGATATTAGCTGAAATAAAATCTGGTATAAAAAATCTATGTTAATCTCGTAAATATTTGCCAATAATTGGATTGAACCCAGTTTATTCTAAGGTTTCACCGCCCAGGTGACTCTAAACAACAACTATTCAGCCTGATTTTTATTATTTTTCATGGGTGTAATTTGCAATTTTTATCAGTCTTTTGTAACACCCATAAATTATGTAAACTAGTTATTATTTTAGTTTTATTGCATCTGATCATGCTGGCCTCCTCTCGCTGGCTTTGTCATCTACACTGATGGATAAAATTAATGCACTACCCTTAAATTTTAATATATTTAGGTTTATTCATATTTTGCATACAAAAAATAGGGTTGGTTGTAAAATTAAGACATTTAAAAGAAAATGTTTATACCAAATTCTAAAAAAACAATATCCATCAATCTTATTGAGTAAAGAAAAAAAATTCATTCCTTGAAAAGATTTCTGATAAAATGGTGAAGAATTCTTTCCTATCCTCAAGAACAGCTGTTTCCAACTCTTCTAGGGTGTTAGGATCTTCCCCCTAAAGATAGGGTTTTGCCGTCATACTCATCGCTTAAGTTCGTCCCAAATGTGTTTGATTGGGTTTTAATTTGGGCTTCGAGCTGGACATACCAAGTACTCAATTCCAACCTCATTCAGGTAGTCATCCACAATACGTGCTCTATGTGGCCTTGCATTAGCAAGAATCTCACACCGATGTTGGGGACAAATAGCACTAACACCCGAGGTGGGTGATTTTTGAGACCCACCGGTAATTTATTATAAATTACAAAAGCTGGAATTGCCAGTGGACCGCAAGAAGTGATAGGTTACTCTGTACGCAGTATACATTAAGCAGATTTGACATTATATAAATCCAAATTCCAATATAATATTTATTATTATTTAATCAAACTGTAATGTATATAATATACAAATGTATAAGTGTTTAATAATAAACACTGTTCAAGTTTGTGTTTAATGATTTTCCATTTTATATTCATTTACTACATATTCCATATTTATTCAGATATCGTGAGATGTGGTCGGGTGTGATGTAGGTTTCAGAAAAGAAAATGTTTTTCTGAAACCTACATCACACCCGACCGCATCTCACGATATCTGAATAACTATCGATTAACGGTCACTAATCTCTACACATATTCCATATTGTACATTTGTATGATTATATATTTATAATAATAATCATATTAAATTATTGCACTATACATTAATAATAAACCTTAATAATTTTATTGTTTCAGATATACGAAAAATCTATCTCCAGACAAAATTAATCTTAGCACATTTAAAGGAGAAGGGGAACTCACGTGTTTGGAATTGGATGAAATAGTTTTAACAGATTTATTAGAGTTACCATCATGGGTTCGCCTAACTAGCGCTTGTTGCAACAAAGTTGAATTCAGGATACAATGGACACGTTTAAAATACGAACCAATACGATTTGTAAGCTGGTTTTTTGTGTTACTATAAAAATATTTTTTTAACTCTATAATGTGTTATCTTTCCTGCAGGCTTTGGATGAGGTTAGAGTAGAAATAGAAACATGTGAAGAACTAAGGTCACTTTCAGCCCAACAAGGGCTCTCTGCATATGCAGGAACAGAATATAGTTTTGCCAACAAAGTGGTCGATGGTATGACAATCTCCGTTAATGAAGTTAAAGTAACGTTCAAAACTCCTGCGTTTAATGCAGCAGTACAAGTAAGTCTAGACAGTTGAAATAACTGATATGAACACAATGTAAAATTTCGGTGTTTAGTTACAGATTATGAGGATATTAGTGGAGTCTAAATCACCAGACTGGAAAAAAGTAGAACTTACAAAAACAAGAAAGAAAGACAAAAGTAAAAAACACATTTTAATTTTTAAAACTATTGAGTGGCAGACACTTAGGCTTGAAGCAAATTCTACAAAAGAAAAAGGGCTGGATTCATTAAGGCTTTTTACTAATATGGCAAAATGCAGATTGACAATTAAGAAACGGACGTCAGGTAATTCACTTTACCATAATAATATTTACAATAGCACTCATAACTATGACTATTATAACTATTTAACTGAAATGTTTTTATTGGTGTATTTTGTTTTCCTTGTTGCAGATTGCTTTGTGATGGGGTGCAAACTGTTATTGATATTAGAAGAGTTTGTGTGGGTACTGACTGATTCTCAGCTTAAAGCTGTACTTCATTTTGTAGAGTCACTCTCAGGGTTAGTGCAAAAGGCAAATGAAATAACACGAATTAAAAAAGCTGCAAGAAAGTTAGAGGTAATAAGCACATATATCTTTCATGAGGTTAGAGTTTAGTTGGATACTTAGTTGTAGTTTTAATAAAAAATTATATTTTTTTATATATCACTTTATATTTATAGCAATATATAGTAACCAATAGCATTTTTTTACCATCATCCAGTCCTCCAGAAAGTTGTTATCCTTATTTTTGGAAGTCTGGAGATGGATGCTTTGTTAGTTTTTAACGTTTTTCCATCTAAGGCTATTGTCAAGAGCTCTGAAAAAATGGTAATCTGTTAGCGACGGGCCTGAAGAGTACAGAGGATGTGGTAAAGTTTCCCATCCTGGGTCCATTCAATTTTTCTTTATAATTGTTGTGATATGAGGGTGAGTGTTATTCTGAAGGAGAATGGGCCATTTAGTTTAACTAAACCTATTCCAAATTAAGTTCTGAATGACACCAATCCAGAATGGCACAGTATCTCTTGAGATGGTTTGACTTGGAAACAAAAATCTCATAGGGCATAATACCTATGGCAGTCATAAATAATGAATCAAATGATTAAGGAAATTTCCTTGGTACTTAATCGAATAAAGGATATGACTGCCTAAAATGATGGTACAGGACCCATTTTTCATCGCAAGTGATGATTCTCAAAAAATGTATGTTTTCGGGAGGGAAGCTAAGCAATAGGCTCTAGGTAAACAAACAATCTTATAGGTGTCTGGTACATTGTGTCGTGCTTTCTTACTTTTCCAATTTGATAAAGGAATTCCAGGCAGTTGAGCCAGAGATTTGGAATTAGGTTGTTATCTCTGGTTTAGTGGAGATCTAATTCAATTAGATTACAATTATTAGATTACCTCTTAGTTGTTACTTATCAATAATCTTTGATTGTGAAATTTTTGGTTTGAACACATCTAAGACTGGATTAGAGTTTAATAACATTTCCAAAAAGAGTAAAAATTGGTTGTTATTCTAAAAAAACCTATAAGGTTCAAACCAATAACAGAAACACTGAGGCCAAAACAAGATGAATTAAAAAAAGACCGGATTTTTGAAGGACCTACTACATTTTATATATATTGTGTATAGTATTTATTTATAACTACAGGCCAAAGTTTAGTAAAATGTTTATAACAAATATGAGCAAAAATGGAATGATAGACCAAACTGGATTGCATAACATAAAAACCTAGATAGTAAGGAAACATTGACAGCAGATCAAACACCTGTCATACAGATATAAATCGTGCTTCGTGCTCACATATTTTATCCATTATCCAGAAAATCAGTGAATTATGGATTCATAATTTACCCTAATACTAACCTAACTCTAACCCCAACCCTAACTAATCTAAACTAATTTATACTTAATCATAATTGTCATCATACCTCATCCCCAATCTACCTTTTGGAAAGAAAAAAATATATTTAAACTGAGAAGGCTGATCAATCACCAAAGAAAATATTAATCAACAGCGGGGTGCTTCATCGATGTTATATAGTCCTGATGAAGGCGATATATTCTGCCGAAAGCTCTACAAGAAAATAAATGTTGTTTCTGTCTTCCTGGCCTCATCCCCAATCTACCTTTTGGAAAGAAAAAAATATACTTAATCATAACACTAACCCTATCTAACCTAACCTAATTCGTCCTTTATAACCTAACTTTAACCCTACCCTAATTCATCCTTAACCCTAACACTAACCTAACTCAAATACTAGCTAGCCTTACCTAATCTAACTCTAACCTTAACTAGCCTAACCTAACTTGTCCTTAACCCAAATCATAGCCCCCACCTAACCTAACCTAATCTAACACATGCACATGAAAAGCATTTTCTGTTTTCTCTGACAATTAAATTAATTTAAGTCTAACTTTAAAAATGTTAAGATGTTGGTTAGCAGAAAATAGGATTTGTTAAGTTGGTAGTAAAACTATTTAAAAAAAACTTTTTCACTGTTGTGAATCAACAAGAATATTATTGATGATTTAACTTTCTTTATCCAGTTATAGTGTTTTTATTTTTTTCTCAATATTTTAGTTGCTTCCTGAATACCATGCCCAAGTTGCTCAACAAGAAAGAAGTGGTGATACAACAGAAAAGGAACAGTCTTTCGCTCTTTGCGATGTAGTTGAAACGTCATACCATTTATGGGCACAAAAAATTGATTTACATTTAGTTGATGATCCTGGAGGTAAGATAAATTACAATTGTTTTAGTTGAACCTCTGTACTTATTTCTTTTTCAGTTATTCTTTGTTTAATTCAAATTTATGTTTTTTTGATAAAAAAAATTCTTATTTCAATATTTAAATTTTTTATCACAGTTATTATGCATCAAATCTGATAGCTGTGTGCATATAATCTTTCTATCTACTTGTTTGTACTTAAACTCTAAAATAATTAATAAATTATTACAATAGGTTTCTAATTATGCTGTGGGTTCATAAGACTTCTAATGAACTAAATTTAACTTAAAAATAGAAGTTAAATAATAAAATATAGAAGAGTGACAAATAGTGATGTTTTCAGCTGGACGTTCTATTTACCCTTTACTTAAAAATGGGCATACACTGCGTTTACTCATTAACAATCTCCAAGTTGATTACTATCCATACCATTTAGCAGCTGCTGACAGGGCTCATTGGGCAAGGTAAATTTTTATTTATTCTCATTAAAAAATAAATCTGACAACTTTATTGGTGCCAAACAAGTAGATAATAATTGGGTTTTCTTTTCTTTTGAGATTTTGTTTTACAAGAAAGTATTTATTGATATACACTTTTCAAGTTTTGCATGTATTTTTGTTAATAGGTTAGGGAAATCTAAAATTGAAATCTATTAATTTTAAACCATCTTTAAATTAAATCCCATTTGTTTTAATTTTAAATGATTTTTCTGAAATTTTAGTATTACTAGGGCTTACAAGTATTTACTATATAGTTGTTGTACCATAATTATAATTAACTATTAAATTATTTTATTGGATACAATTCTTTTCCTTATATTTTCAATTGTAGGTACAATCAAGCAAGTTCCCCTCACGCTGAGTGGCTTTCAGCAGCTCAAAGTCAATTTAAAAATTCTCTCCTTCAGCTGATAGACCAAAGAGGAAGGAATCCTAGTTTTAGAGGATCGAATAGCAATGATGTGTGTAAGCATAAAATAGGCAAAAATGTTTTAATTATTAATTGTGTGGAACTTTGTAGGAAGATGAAGATAGAAAAAGTAGCGAATCTTCCCCAAGCCAAAATAATGTGAAAAAGTATGTTATTGCCAATTTGGCAAAAGTAATGACTTCATGCATTGTCCTTAGAGTGCAAGATTTTACAGTTTATGCTATTTTACCAAACAATAAACACTTACAAAAGGAATTTATTAAAGGTATATTAAACAATTAATATTCTTCTTTTATAGTTATTGTGCTGTATATACTAGTTATTCATAAATTATGCAAAATATTAATTTTAATAAGTTGTACTTGTAATCTTACCATCTATATTTTAACAAATTAGGACATTTGAATTTAATAATATAGTCAAATTACATTAGTTTTCAAAAAGCTAATACACCAATCACTTTCTATTTCTGCTCATGCTTTCATAACTTATAAACTGATAATAATTTCTTGAAATTAAAGGGCAGCACAGGAGAAGAGAGAGCCTAGCACAAGGTATAGGTGATTTTAATTAGTGATGCACGAATTTAAATTAACCAATTATAAAATAGTATTTTGGAATATTTGTGTGTTGTTTATTGGGTTGGAACATACAAACTGACTGTTATCTATGCTGTAATCTATGGATTTATGTACTTTTATTCTTCTTTTACAAGCACCAGTGCACACACACACACAGAGTAACTCACCCTATTTTTATTGCTTAAATGTAGAAAGATTGGGAATAATATGAGTCTCGTATAATGTTTTATATTTTTATGTTAAATTTTTATGAAAACAAGCAAGTAAACAAGCTAAATGTAAACAAAAGGTTGGATATTGTATGTTCCAATTTAAGTGTAGTCTAAGTTAGCTGTGTTTTTGGTAGCTGCTTATAACAGTAGTAGTAAAGATTGTGTTGAAGCTGAGTGTTGGTCGGCGAGTAGTTGAAATCATGAACTGGCATTGGGTCCTCTTCACTTGCGGGTTTGTTAAACTACTCAAACACTTTTCGGCATGGTGCCGTCATCAAAGTGTCTGTCACTTTGTCGAAGTGGGGCTTTTATGTCATTGGGTCAGTCAGTTGTCGCTAGGGGTGTTCGAGGTAGGGGGCATGGTCATGGTGTTCATAGGTTGATCGTTCTGTTGATTTATTATTTGTGCATTGTTAGTTTTTGTTGTATTGGTTTCGATGTTATTTTTTCTGAACATTTGTGTTTTTTATTATGTAGTGTTTTTAGTGGTATGAAAGTAGTGTGTGAAAGTGAGTATGTTTGTCATTTATAAGTTTTAAATTTGTAAATATTATTTGTTTGTATATCTCTAAGTTCTACAATGTGTTGTTTTGTGCATTGTGTATTAAAATGCTGTTTCTATTGTGTTCGGCTTGTGATTGTGATGTATTAAGTGTGTGGCATAATTTGATTTCCCTTCATTGTCTCTGAAGGATCTGAGATGTTCTTTGAATTGATCTCTTAATTTCCTTCCAGTCTATTCAATGCATCTGTCTCCACGATGATATGTGATGCTATAAACACCGTTATTGCCTAGCAGGTCGATTGTGTCTAAGTTTCTTTTAGTAGTTTACCTACTACTACCAAACTACTACTGTGTTATTATTGGTCCTTAGTGCTGTTTTTAGTCCGAGTTTGTTGAACAAGTCGTCTGTAGGCTTCTTTTCCTGTGTATGTGAATATTGTCCATGGTTGATGTTGTGTTTAGTTTATTTATTTATTTTTTTAGAACTAGAAACACTAACTTTTTCATCTCAACCAAGACCTTACATAAAAAGAATAATTAATTGAATTTCATATATTTAATTTATTGTAATTTTCATATTATTTAAAAAAGTACTTAAGAAACTTCTTAAATTCATCTTAAACTTAGCTTTACATGAATGATGTAATGATTTAACATTATTGTTCCCCTGGGGTTTTATTACAGAGAAGTTTAGCCATTTGCTCCTAATTTTCATTCCATTAAAGAACAATTAAGTTTTTCTTCTATTTTGTCTACATTAAATGTCTACCTTTGTGGACATTTAATTTAATTTTTGTCTACGATTTTGTTAAAAATCTGCACATGGATCTACCAACCTTTGAATGCATATATTTAAAGGTGACAATCCCAGGTCACTTCCTTAGCCGACCACGAGGATCTCTGGAGCTAACAAAAAGCCTATTTGACAAGTAAAAATTGAACAAATTTGTTGTTGGGCCAAGAGGAGGCCAAGGCCTCCGCATGCCAAATGTGAATCCATTGCCCTCAGGGAAGCTCTCATCCACGCTTTATTTCTGACATTTACTTTGGAATTGCCATTCCCTTTGTTACAGTGTATCAGGATAAGAATAAAAGCCATTTAAGAAGCTTAATAATATAACTGTAGAAAAGTACCCAACCCCCATATCCCGGGGGTCAAGCTGCCCAATGCATTTGGAGAGACCCCTCCCCCCGCCCACCAAACGAACCCCTGGGCCCATCTCAGAGACTCAACGTTAAAAGAGACACAGCTCAATATCAGTCTTCCAAGAAGGCATAAATCAATTTATACTCCTCTTCTATTCCAGACACAAGGAGACTCAGCATAGACTCCCTCAATGGTACAACCTACCAAAAAATGACTTTGTTTACATTCTTTGTACTCCGGGCAATCAAAGATTATGTTTAATTTCAATTAATTAAGGTTTTTAGTTGAGATAAAAAGTCAGTGTCATGAGCGGGATTCGATTCGAACCCACGATCTTCGGCTAGATAGCCGCTGCTCTACCACTTGAGCTATCGCTACCTCGATCCACTCGGACACTAACTTCCCATCTCAACCCCACCTTTTGAATTTTCCCTCCTTTTTGCCATTTTTTTGAAATGCAAATTTGCAAAATGGCAAAAAGGAGGGAAAATTCAAAAGGTGGGGTTGAGATGGGAAGTTAGTGTCCGAGTGGATCGAGGTCACGATAGCTCAAGTGGTAGAGCAGCGGCTATCTAGCCGAAGATCGTGGGTTCGAATCCCGCTCGTGACACTGACTTTTTTATCTCAACTAAAAACCTTAATTAATTGAAATACATTAATTGGTCAAGCGGACCACTAAAACTAGTGAATTATGTTTAATGTTCTCCGACTCATCACACATCTCACAATTCGCACAAGCTATAAGGTTTATTCTGTGCAAGTTTGTTTCACAGATGTAGTGATTCATTTGGATCCTTTTTTTTATTAATTAATGTAATAAAATTAATTGTTTTATTTTTAATATGCAAGGCACTTATTACATTGCTGCATGATATTTTATTATTATTTTCATTATTAGCCATTTAAAGGACTTGGACATTTGACAGACTCAGCAATAATTTTGACAGTGTGTTATTGACCATGCTGACCAAAAGGTCCATTGACAATGCTTTTTTGAATTTGAATTTATGGCACAGTTTATATTCAACTGCTGTCATGAGTTATTTTCCTAAATGTTTGTGCCAGTTTTCTTTTGTTCGTATGTATGACTATTATTTGTATAACCAGTGGGCTTCTCTAGCCCAGAAATCCTCATGCCCCTGGCAAAACTCCGGTGTTCGGGAGAATCTCTCGGACCTTTTAGTGCTTCCTTACAAAATAAACGAAGTTCATCGGGAAGAAGCTGTGATAAGGCGAAAAGCACAGAGAGGTTCTACTTGTATAAGGAACTTTTCAATGAACACCTACTGTCATATAAACCGAGCCTTTCTCAGGTCTAGGTAATAGGTAATAAGTCTAGGTAATATTAGAGATTCTTGTTGGCTATTCAAACTAAGAGGAGAATTGCTATATTTGAAATTCAAACCCTGGGTTTTGAATGATCCTCACAATGAAACTTGTCCACTTTGTAACAGCCACGCCAGGGAAGATGATATCACTTTTTGGGAGTCTGCTCTCTTCCCTCAGAATTGCGGGTATCTTACTTTGGAAAGACAGTCATCTCCAGAATTGAAATACTGGAATATCTTTCTAACCAAGTATCCCCTTTACCGCTAATTTCCTTTGCTCGGCACGCCTGGAGAGTGAGATACGAGAGGCTTTCAGATATGCAATAATTGTCATCCTTGTACATATACTTTTACTGCTTTGTTTTTTAGTACTCTATCAGTTCTCAAGAGGTAATTTGTACTTATATAATTATTTTTGTTTTATTATTTTTCTCATATTTCCATTTATTTTAATTCATACACCTGCTATATGTAAATTTTCTTTTAGAATTTCTTTTGTTTTAATATTTCTGTATTTGTAAGCTTTATTATGCAGTAAACTCAGCAGACGGCTACTAGCTATGCTTATTATACTTTGTATCAGTGTTTCTATTTTTTGTTTGTATCAATTCTAATAAAGTATTGTGTATTGTATTGTATGTCTATTATGTAATACTTATTATATTATGATTATAAGAATTATAAGTTATTATATATTATATTTTTCTAGGTGATAAAGAACGCAATATGCCTTCTGATGTAACAGTACATGCAGAATTTACTTATTATTATTATCCTGGAAACATTGCATTCCCTTGTAAGTATAGAACAGATGGATGTTTATTTTAACAAATAACTTTTTTAACTGAACTGTTCTTTATTACAGTACCAGTTCCCAAGTTTTATGTACAAATAAATCCTGTTATAATGAATTTCGATGTGAATACTATTCTTTGGTTGAATTCATTTGCTTTAAATCTTCATCAGTCATTACAAGAGATTAAACAAAACTCAACCAATAACTTGAATTATGTTGATGTTAAAATAGAAGCAATAATGCCTCGAGTAAGTATTATGTTTTCTATAGTCTTAAGATATATATTTAAATCAATTGAGAAAGGTGATAATGATTGATATAAAATACTGAATTGTCAAGGCCCCATATACATTTAGTTTATTTATCAGTTTGCATGAACGAAAATCTAGAAATTGAACAATTGACTGGACTAACCATGTGTAGACACAGTTCAGTTTGCCGTCCAGTTTCTCCAGTGTTTGCTACAGTTGTGTCAGTTTCCATGATGTAGCACTGGTATGTGGCTTATATGACACAACTCTTAAGGAGGAGAAAAATAAAAATCAGTGAAAAGAAAATTACAAAATTTTCCATTCCACTGACAGAAATGAATGATTACCTGAACGAACTGTCAGTTTATCAAAGGGAACTAAGGTCCCAGGGCTTATACTAGATACCACCAGTTATTTCCCTGGATAGAACTGTGCAGCTTTGTTTCACTTCAAATTAAAATTCAAGGGGGGGGCCTCGGTGGCCACAACGGTTTAGGCATTAACACGGCGCTCATCACTGTAAGGTAAAGGTCCCGGGTTTGATTCCAGCCGCCCTGCATTCGAATCCGACATACCTACAAATGGGCTTTTTTTTCAAAAACACCGGCACTTCGAGGGTTGATATAACCTCTACTGTTGCGAACCCTCGTTTAAAAAAAAAAATTTAAATTCATTGATTTGAGTGTTTAAATAACCCTAAATTTAACTGAAGAAATATCACATTTAAGTTAAGTATATGTATGTAAATTACTGACATGAAATTTTGTTGTTTACATATTAATTTTAACCCATAAGTACGGGCATCAGGTGCACTCAGTGCACCATTGGGCAAAACTTGCCTATGGTACTGGAGGGCCTGTCTGTACAGTTATCCTTTCAGTATGCTATTTGGATTGTGGTGGACAATTTCATAGATTTATCAACTTTTGCTGTGAATCAGTTTTTGTTGATTTTCAATTGGTGCACTTTGTAGGAAATCTTATATTTGGACAAAGAATTAAAAAATTTAAAAAGAATAGATATATAAAAATCAGGGTTTTATGAAAAAAGGGAAAGTTAGATCATGCATAAAGTGCACCAGCGCGCGGGCATATTTTAACCAACAAGATGCACATGTTAAAACACAATTTCTAAAGAACAAATAAAAATAAAAATACAATCTCTCCCTAACATTGACCCTAATATAATCCCTCCCTAACACTAACCCCAGCATTAACGTAACACCTCATGCAAACATTCCATCTCTAACTCTAACCCATCCCTAATCTAATCTAGCCTATCCCCAACCCTAACACCTAACCCAGCCTATCCTAGTCATTCCTAACCTAATGCATGTGCACTCTCTTGTAGCATGAAAAATTTGTATATGCAACCTTTTACAAGTATACTTTTAAATATACATTATATAAAAAAATAATACAGAATATATAAAAGATAATACCGAACATTGAAAATTAAGTACAATCAACTCTTGTTAATTTGAAACTTCAATATAATTCAAATTTATTGATAATAGAAACTTCCCAGCAGGTGACTTGGGTAAATTTAAACAATTCTGTGCATACACTCAGTAATACAAAATATTTTTTGTAACAGGGGGAGAGAGAGCATTCTATAAATTAAAATGGAGCCTCTTTATAATTTGAACTTTTTTCTTTCCATGTATAGTTTACTTCCTTGCACCCTAAAGTTCCCTTGAATTTTCTCTAGCTTTTTATGTTCGTCGGTCAGTGTTTTGTCAATGTATTCTTATCATTGGTCACTTTCGAAAATTATTTAAACAAAGGACTCCAAATCATATTGAAACAAAACTGCTTCATAATTTTTTTAAATAATGCATAACAATGTTCAAATTTACAGTTGATCTATTTACAGTTTTCATTATTTTTAACTATGTTTTATGTATGTACAATTTAAATTTGAACTTTTAAAAATACATATCAAATCTTAATAATTTGATTTTTTTGTTCCTCTTGATAATTGGAACAATTTGATAATTCGAATTATTTTTTTGGTCCCGTGGGTTTTTGAATTGTCAAGAGTTGACTTCATCTAGTAATTTTTTATTATTAAGTGAATTTACCTTTGGTCAGTGTTAAATATTAATATTAGTAATAATACATATATATATTTAGTAGTCATAATTGACAGTAATAATTATTTCAATTAATTATACTTTTTATCCAAGTTCTTAAATCAAAATCATGGAGAAAAATATTAAATCATGGAGATATAACCTAACCCTAACTCTGCCTGACCTAACCATTTTCAACCTAACCTAACTATTTCTAACCTAACCTAACCTACCCCATTCACTCCCTGGTAATGTGAAATTGATGTGAAAATGATTTCACAGTAATAAAATATATCTAAACCATGTTTTAATGATTTTATGAGTTTGTTTGCTAAACTCATGTTTAAGCAATAATGTTTATTTTAGCATGCGCTGAAGATTGAGAAATAGTAGTGTAACTTGAAATTATTGCACGAGTATCAAAGTGTGTTAATTGTATCTAGGCAAGTGCAAGAAGAGTTTTTTCTATTAGTTTTTATTACAGCAATCACCAATCCATTTTGAAAAGTAGATTATTGTACAAATACAATTTATTCTTGTACAATTTAGATAAGAACTTTTAAAAATGCATTATAACTCTTAATGTGTGTTTCTTAGTGACCTGTGGTTTCATAATTTGATTTTTTTTTTTTGAAAATTCAAATTATTTTTTGGCCCCTTGGGTTTTGAATTATTAAGAGTTGACTTCATCTAGTAATTTTTTATTATCAAGTGAATTTACCTTTATTCAGGGTTAAATATTAATATTAGCAATAATCCATAGATGTATTTAGTAGCCCTAATTGACATCACGACTTTCGGCTCAGTACGCCACTGCTCAACCACTTGTGTGACGATAGCTGAAATGGGGGGGGCGTATTGAGCCAAAGGTCGTGGGTTCGAATCCCGCTCATGACACGAGCTTTTTCATCTCATCCAAGATCTTTGAAAAAGTATAATTAATTGAAATAATTAGTGATAATTTATAAAGCGTGTATTCCTTCCAGGTAATTTTTGAGAGCAATGTTGAAATCCAGTGTGGACAACGTGATAGACCAAAAGCCCTTCACATTCAAGTCAGTAGGGCATTGATAAGCAATGTTAGAAGTTCTGATGGTTGTAGTCGAGCCGATTTGGCCAAATGTGTTAATGCATTGCAATTAGGTTCCTTATTCTTTGGTAATGAATTCCCAGTCAAAGAAGGTGATTTTGCTGTGATACCAGATAAATTTATCGACCATATCCAATGTATGTATTTGTCGATTGCATGCTCGTGTTTTGATATTTTGTGTAATAACCAAATTAACTTTATATTATCAGTTAAAGATAACATTCGTACACCTTTGGAGGAACTTCCCACGAACACAGTATCTGAGCTAGTCAGCTATTTCAGAAAAACGCTATTGTGGACAGAGTCTAGAGATGTTTGGTAAATATCTATTTTTGAAACACAGTAAAACATATGTAATTATTATTATTTGATTTTGTAATATTCTAATTTTAGGTGTATTAACTTCGAACCAATTTGGGGTGAATTTTATGGTGCAAGGGGTGTGGCTCATAATAAACCTGTGGCATTTATTGATTCTTTTCCATTAAAAATTTGGGTTTATCTTAAAACTGAAAGCAGTACAAGAAAAGATTTTTCAAAACCGGAACTATACGCACTAGCTTACATTTCCAATTTAGTTTCAGTCCAAATAAATCATTATCAACTATTATTTCTTTTACGGTTGGCTGATGATTTTGCTGAGGTAATACTTTTAAATAATTTGTTTAACTTCCTTTTATAAAAGTAATTTTGTTATTTTCATCAAGTTGTTGACTATTCTTGAAATGGATTCTCGACGGATTATGAAAAGAGGAAGTAGTGGAGTGGTAGTTGGTGCAGTTGTTCCTCAGCTTGAAGTCACTCTTGTTATGCCTTCTCAAACACCTGGCAAAGAGTCCTCAGGAGCAGATCTTGAATCTGTCATTCCTGATACCTCAAGCCTTGCAGATGACATTGTTACAAATCCAAGCATTCAGTGGAATGCAGTATTAACAACTGATTTGCAGGTAAACTTTGAATACTATTTCTACCTTTTTTTAAACTTGAAATACACGACATTGTATAGACTTTTTTTTAAATATCAGGATGGAGGAGTTTATAAACGAGAAAATACGGTACCAGCGATGTCTCCTCCAAGTAATCAGCTTTCTCTTGATGTGACACCAACCTTCTTGGAATCGAAACAATTAAATTCATTTATGGGGCTTTCTTCAATGAAGAAAGGGTTTACTAATTTTACAAATTTATTGGATTCTAAACTTAAGTTTTCACCAAATGATGCAAGTGATTCATTTTCAACTAGGTTAGTAATAGCAACGATTGATATTTGATGAGAATAAAGTATACTCTATAAGTTAGATAAAACAAACATTTCATCTTAATATTCTTAATTCCTTACGTTTATAGTAATAAATATAACAATTTATTGATAGTTGTATTAAAAATGAACAAAGTTATAGTAGTAGTGAACTTTAAAGCTAGAAAATTCTTGATCAACAGTACTAGGCCTAGTTTTACTAATATTAATATTGTTTTTAGATCTGATGGAACTTCTGATAGTGAAAACTATGTACTTAACGGCCAAGTTGATTCAATGTTCAATATAGATACTTGTGATGAACCTATAGAATATGGCAGTGAAGCACTCGAAGAGTTCGATGACCATTCTGGTGCTACAATTAGTGTTACAACTCCAAGTGAAAATCCATCAAATGCAAGTTCTTATAAAAGAAAAGATTTGGTTAGTATTTTCTTAATTATTGTACCCAGTAGACTCTTGTTATCCGTGGGGGATCTGTACCAAGCATCACCGTGGATGACGAGAACCATGGATAATAGGAAGTACCTCAAATTTTGGGCTTCAAAGCATTTTCTTCTACTGGCATACAAATCAGATATTTTTTATATTGCGTCTGCCTATCATTAATGCTATGTATACACTTATGTACACACGAAGACAGTATGACAAAGGTTGCAACATGTTAGGGTTTTTTCTGTGATTCACCTCATTCCCACTGTCTTCTAAAACGCAACACGATGAACGAAAGTGCGGATAAAAAGAGTCAACTGTATATCTATATATAGTCACTGTTAAACATTGTTAATGTAAGGGGGAAAAGTAATGCTTATTTTCAATAATAATAAAATTATTTTTTTAGATTTCTGTGGCCACATTTAAATTAGGCCAGGTAGAAATAATACAGCAGTCCCAAGGGCTCACATCCACCATTAAAGCTCAGGTATCAAACATTGCAATAGAAGAATGTCCAGCTATTCCATGGGATGAATTTCAGGTACTTTTATTAATTCAATATGCAATCTGAGGTATATATTAATATGCTAATGCTACATTCTAACATAATTCATTCAATTGGTCAAGCGGACCACGAAAACTAGTGAATTTAATAATTAATATGAGACTATTTTGAGAGCTTGTCTGTGTGCATTTATATATTATGGGATGTGTTTTCATGCATATACATTTTTACATTACATACACTGTATTTTTTGGACCAAGTTTATCTATAATTTTTGATAGTCAAGTTGGGAAACAAGGTAGGTTTTTTATTGACAATCTGGCTTCCAGCTTGCAGTTTCTTTTGCCAGGTTTGCCATGTGTAATTACTATTAAAAATAAATTTCTTTTTGGCAGAATAATGCTGAAGATTTGCAAAAATTATTACTTTATTCTCAATACATTCTGTCCTTGCTGTACTGATGTTGGAACATTTAAGTTTTGTTGTTTTATCATCTTTACTGCTTACTTTTAATTCACTATTCATATGTTCATAATAGTTTCATTGGTATTATTTTTAAATTAACAAAACAGGCCATTGCCAGCTTTTTTTAAATTATATTTCATTTGATCTCTTCCTTTTTTTAATTTACTCTGCTCTTTTCTTTCTTGTATGTTATGCTAAATGTTTCATTTTACCTACAAGTCATGTACAATATTTTCAGTTGTGAGTTATAGTTTTATATTATTTATTTTATTACTAGCCTTTTTTTTCTTCTTGCCACTCGTGCTAAAATTGTAACACAACAGGTTACATTTATAACTTGCTTACTGCTTCAGAAACAAGGCGTTTTGTATATCTATTAAATTGTAGCCGGATAATTATATCGTAACCGCATCCTCTGCATACTAAGTCTTTCAGCCCAGTATAAAGCCTCACTCTCGAACCAGAACATTTTAATGCTATATTTTAAATACACTTTATATTTTTTAGATTTATTCTTTAGAGATAAATTAATATAAAATTAATTTAATAAGTAGATATTAGAGATTCTGGCTCTGCTGTCTTGTATCCTCGATAAACAGGGGTTGTGGCTCTTTTATATTTTTCAAGCAGGTTGTTTAACCCTGCAGCAGACATGTAATTAGGACTAGTTAAATACTTATTTAAACAAATAACATCTCAATTCTTGTTGATTTGTCATCTATTGTCCAAAAATCTATTATTACTAAAACAGCTTTCAAAATTAGCAGACCGGAGCCATATAGTGTGCAAAAGAGCCATTATCTCATTTTTCTATGAAGTTGTTTATTTATACACTTTTGTTTTATTGACATCAGTATTGTTAGTAAAATGATCAGATCATCCAAGCATTGTCGAAGGACCTCCGAGATTTTTTCAGATTTGTTATACAAATTTTCAGACCTAAAAAGTTTTAAAAAAATTTACAAAAATCCAATAAAATTAAAATCATAGCTATAACCAAAGAAAGATTAAACTATGATCATCTAACCCAAAATAATTAAGATTAGTATACTTACATTAGGAGGCGCGAGAGGTACGCAGTTCTGAAGGCACAAGTTTTCTCTTTAACTGCTCTGTAGCGAATGAAATAAAGAAAACTAAAAAATGGCACTTGTTGCTCCCAGTTCATGAAAAAATAGAGAACAAATACTAGCCAATCGGAACAAAGATTCAAACTAAAAATACAACAAGAAAGAAATTGCAGCACACACCACTGATACGCACCTGCTAGAGGGTTAATATTGGAGTTGGAGTTTGAAATTTTATAGATATGTAATGACTGTTGGTAAAATTCAGTTGGACAGTCATGTCAATATATATATTTTTTTAATGCCTTATTGATGAAATATTTTTCTCATTTAACAAATGTCACATTACATACAAAGTTTCATGTTTTTTACTCACATGTCTTATTTTGTGTCATTGTTGTATTGTCTTATGTGTGTCAGGGTTTTCACTTATAATACATAGTTGGTTTTGTATTTGTAAAGTGTCTGTTCAGTGCAATTGAATACCTCCCTGAAGGGCCATGAACTTCTAGGTTAAGATTAGTATACTTTTTTAGTATAAATTAAAATTAGTATACTTTAGGTCATTTCAACTCCTAATGCTTACAAATGATAAACTAAATATACATCTTCCATCCCTTAGTACAAATCATTTGCTCCAGCAAGCTGAGGGATTACTTCATCCCTTCATATCCCTACTTAATAATATTCCATAATTGCTTCTCACACTGCTAATAAATGCATTCATGCATTCTTAAAAATCCATTTAATATTAAGAAGCTATATATAATAGAATGCCCACATTTAACAGGGAAATAATTATTGTATCAGATTGGCACTTGTTATATACTTAGCTTTGTATGCTACGCCCTACATGAGGAATATGTATGTGGGCACTGGCCCAAAAGTATGGCCTATTATGAGTTTTATGAGATGGATTTCTCTTCCTTGACTCAGATCCTTTGTGGGCCAACCACTAATTACACCTTTTGTCCAAAAACTCTGCCGATCCTGTTTAAGGATGCTGCCTTCTTTCCTTTATCCTTTTTTCTTGGCATTTTAAGTGGCTGAATTGCAGTGGCATGTCCAGAGGTTGGGATATCTCAATAGCTGTTTATTTCATATGTTGTTAATAAACATTGCCACTATTAAATTATCTTCATAACCAACACATTTAGTTCAACTAATGGAATTATTTTCATTTTTACCTGAGACACTGATTAACTGTAGCATTATTCATCCAATTGTTTAAATTAAAATTAGACCCTTTTATACCCAACTTTTTATTTAGTGTTGCAGGTAGGTAATCTAAATAAGGATCGATTCCCCCCCCCCAATCTGTATGTAGAATTATATCTCTCCTATTGTATTTTTCTAAACAATTTTTTAATTGAATGGTTTCTAATATGCTTCTGTGTCATATCACCTAATGAATAGAAAGCAGTTTGTTTAAAAAAATATATCAATTGGCTTAATGTGGTGGCATCAACTGCCACTGCTTATATATTGGGTAATATAAATTACTAATACTGCTAATGTATTTTAATGAAATGGTATTTGTTTACATTTTTTGACATACCAAATTGTTTTAATTAAACCAAATAATTTTAAACAAAAAATTAAATAATTTTCTATCGTTTTATACATTCATGGTAAAGTACTTGTCATCAATTCCATTTTTGCTCTTGTATAACTCTAATTATATTATGTACATAATAATTCAGTTTTATTGCTATTATTTACATGACATTTGTGTATTTTGTGTGTGACTTTATTCCCTTAAAAATACTTTGAACATGTTGCCTTTTTTTTATTTCATGTGTATTTGCTTGACATGATCAGGTTATATATTTCGACATAAAGCCTTATTTTAATTTTATATTTAATATTATTGCTGAATATTCAATTAGTTTTTTTTATTTTCTTACATTTACCATTATTATTTTTTGCCGTTCTTTTAATATGTTTTGTATGTTTTGCATGCACACTATTTATCTCTTTCTCTCTGTCACTGTGGCATCATATGGTGAATGTTATATTCAGAAAGAAGAAAAGGTACTACCTATATTTCATATTAAGCTTTCTGCTATGACTGCACCTCTGCTTACTGGCTTCATAGATTAGTTCATTAGTTATATTATAAGATTTTGACAATGTAAGATTGTTTCATTTTAAAACTTATAAAGTAAAATAATAACAAACATTAAAAAAAATATTGCGTTAACTGCTAACTGTAAATTTTCAGAATATTTAATATAGATGTTACAATCATTGTAGTTCTGAATATTGTTTATTAGCCGAATAGTAATCGCCTTAAGTTTTAAGTAATAAATTATATAAAGTTTGAAATTTCAATGGCATAAGTGGTTTAATATGTTTTTCTTTTCAAGTTTAAAATTTTATTTGAATTAAGTAGTTTCATGGAGCAAAAAGATAATGTTTATTTATGTTATTCATTTCAGTGGATTAAAACACACAATATAAATTTTAATGATGTGAAGGCACAGTGCTCAGCATATAAATTTTATATGTATTACTACACAAATACAATTGTATATTTACTTACTCAGAACTACATTTTTTTACTGCAAGTCATTGTTTATAAAATTGTGTACAATATTATTTAGAAAAGGTTGCATGGAGTATAATCATACGTAACAATTTGCATGCTTAAATAATATAACATGTAAAAGTATTAAATCATGGAGATGTAACCTAACTTAAACCTAATCCTACCTTTCCTGACCTGACCATTTCTAACAAAACCTAACCTAACCTAACTCTAACTCTGCCTAACCTAACCATTTCTAATCTAACCTAACCATTTCTAACCTAACTTAACTTAGTCCATGTTCACTTCCTGGTAATGTGAAATTGATGTGAAAATAAATATTCAATAAAAAAATTGTGTATTGTTGTTAATAAAAAAAATATATCTAAACCATGTTTTAATGATTTTATGAGTTTGTTTGCTAAACTCATGTTTAAGCAATAATGTTTATTTTAGCATGCGCTGAAGATTGAGAAATAGTAGTGTAACTTGAAATTATTGCACGAGTATCAAAGTGTGTTAATTGTATCTAGGCAAGTGCAAGAAGAGTTTTTTCTATTAGTTTTTATTACAACAATCACCAATCCTTTAAGGAAAAGAGAATTTTGTACAAATACTATTTATTCTTGTAAACATTGAGAAATTGCGACAAAATTAAATCATTCAAATTTTCTACCCATATTAAAAACCATTCGAAAAGTTAAAAATTATATAGTTTTTTAGTTAAGTTGTACAGTAAGTTAAAATCATGATATTTGTTTTTAACTCCCTTCATCCCTTTCTATAAATTATTTTCATTTAAAAAATGTTAAATTGAAATATGAAGACAACTTTTATTAGAAGTTATACTACTTACCAGCTTTTGTTATAATTTTAATTAACGAATTGAGATTGATATTTTAACATTACGTTTATATTAATGTTTGACATCAATTACATCTGTATTTTAACTGATAGATTAGTAACTTCTATCAGATTTACTTATTTGTTTCCTAAATGAGTAGACAAAAATTTTTAAGAAAGGCAATTCAAACAAAAGTAATTAGCACACAGAAAACTGCATCTCTCAAATGATGCGGCAAATGTTTGAAAATCGTCTATCATCAAATAATTTGTATTTATCAAACTTACTTGTATGAAGGAACATAGTTTATTTTGATTTGTCCTTTAATAGACTCAAAGCAAGTCCTTAAGTGGTAATTCGAATCAATGCAAAAAAAGCTAAGTAAATTAGAAATTAGTGAAAGAGAAAGAAAGAAAACCGGTGTCAGTTCCCATCCTATTCTTAGAACTTTTGGTTTACAATTGATTTCGTTGGAAGATCCTATTGGTAGTGTAAAACATACGCTTTGAGACATTGTTTAATATGTTATTAATGCTCAATGCAATATTTTTCTCTTGTGTTACACGTATATATTAAAATCCTGGACTTAATTGTATTCCATCTGAAGGTCTTCATACCTATGTAAATATCTTGGGTCTGTCCAGAGGAATTTTAGTTGTTCATTAGGCTTATAATGTTCATTAGTATAAAAGTAGTATCATTTTGAATTATTTTCAATTTAATTTGATTAACATATTATCTATTTGAGGTAATCATGTAAAATAAAACAGACCAAGAATAAACATGATATCAATTCTCAATTAATAATAATACGTTCTACCATTTAATACCGTTTTGATAATTCTGAAGCTGCAGTTTTCATAATTTTAGCATGTAGATTAATTTAAATATAGTATTGTGTGCTGATTGTAGGATCAACTGGAAATCCCTCATTCCTCAAAGCATGACATTAATGTTTTAAAACACATACAACATTAACTTAGAAATGATTTGGAGATATTGATAAGTTTAAAATGTAACGCAGTGGATCGCATGAAATATTCATAGGGTATTTAAAAAAAAAAGTTATTGTAAAAATTGTTGCTGTTAGATTTGTGTACACATTTGTGGGGAAGGTGAAATAATTTTGATTTGTTTATCTGGAAATTTAAAAAAAATTGCAAGCATGAAATGTTTTAATTTTTAATTGAATTTTTCTTTTCAAACTTTTCTATGCATTTTATTGAATTGTTTAATACTAGTGATTTATTTGTTGTCATTTTATAATTTCCAGCTAATCAAGTTACAATTATTTTACTTTTGCCTTACACGTAGTTTTATACTTCAATCTCTTATGAAATATAAACCTTTGACTCTTTTTCAACCGTAACATAGTTTTAACAATGGTGATATTAGTTCACATGTGAAGTTATTTGATGTTAAAGACAACTTATAACTAACTACAGTCATATTTATTTGTATACAAAGTTTTTCTTGTTTGACCTTACCCCTTTTTTGTTTTATTCTCAGAACAAGTTTAACACCAGATCTCGTGGATGGACTGAAGTGTGTGATAAACCTACTGTTAAACCAGGAGTCCGGATAAGAAAAGAGCACACGGTTCAGTATGGCGATTTGAATCTTTGGCCTACCCAAAAGATTAGTTCGTGGTTCAACGATTTGGTCACAGTCGCATTATCCGATATATGCATCACACTGAATGCTTCGACAGTTTCATCCATCGCAGAATTTTTTGAAGATGATATCGAATCGCCATCAATTCCAATCAAGGTAATTATTTTTAGTTTAGTTTTAGAAAAGAATAGAAACTAGGGGGTTCAGTTTTACGAAGATTTAAGGAAAATAAGTCCTGGGGTCCAAATGTTCCGCTTGAAGGTTAAAAAAGGATCATTTTGACTAGTCTTAGTGATTTCTTTGTTTAAGTATGAGGTTTTGAATGTAAAGTTACAATTAGTTGCCTAAGAGGTTGCCATTTTTTATGTTTACATATATGTATATTTCAGACAAAAAGAAATTCATATGTAACAACTCTATTGATGTGATTTGTGTGATCACATTTTACCCATACTTTTATCATTATTATTTGACTTTAAAATTTCATTTTTTCATTATTTAATCTTTATACTTAAATGGTGCTAAAATTAATTTGCCATGTCTTGGATTTAGATAAGCATGGAGAATATGGACTTAAATATTATTGAAGAGAAGAACTCGATGGCAGCAGGTGGAACACCTATAAACGTTTCAATATCACGTTTGCATATATCAAGAGATAAAGATAAAGTGATACTTATTGAGCCAACAATTGCTGAAAAGCCTAGTACATACACCCAAGAGATTTATGACCTGAAAAATGAAAATGAACAATTACGTCGCAGGCTTGCTGCTATGGAAAGGTTGAATGAAGAAAATCACCGTCTTAGAAAGTGTGAAGAAGAGTCTCATGAACTGAGGTATGATTTGTACAATTTCTCTATTAAGAAATTGTTTAAAGACAACAATTATACAACACAAATATTTGCATTGTGCTACGCTATCAGAGCTTTAATCTGTAACACTACAGGTGTAGGCCAACTCAATCCCAATTATTCAGTGTTTACTAATTTTTCAACACTCAATTGTATAAATGCATTTAAACAATGTTAATGGGTGGTGGTGAATTACATGATTATTTAATTAAACAGATGGAAAGTTAGTGGGCTTCAAATTTCTTCTTAATGGGACAAGTGTTCCATCAACTGTGCTTGGTTTACAAGATACATATAAACATTGGCTGTTTTTTCGCATGATTTGGTGTCTGGTGAATGCATATTATTTGAAATACTGAGTCTCACTTTTAAGAAATAAACAACTTACAAATGAGAAACAGAAGCTTGAGGAAAAACACCGTCATGATGACCTAGATATACTGCCTGATGTGGACATATGACTAGTGTGCAACCAAAAGCTATGAAATATTCTGTATGTTGGTGTTAGGGTCAATTGGAGATTTTTTAATAATATGTATGAATGTTATTTAGATTTTAATAAAAAGCTCACAGCCTAAGAATTATAGAATTATCTAGTTACAAACATTAGTTTCTCCAATTTTTATTTACATTTCATATATTCTTCATTGTTCAACATTTATTTGAAAAATATGAAAGTTTACTAACTGATAAATATTAAGTTGCTTTTACATATATACTACTGTTATATTAACAATAATCCATAACACTCATTTCTAAAAATTTTAGGTCATTTTTGCATAGTGCACAAGACCATCTTCAAGCTGTGCTTGAGGAGAATGAGAGGCTGTCTGAGATGTTGAGGAATTTTCAGAGGGGAGACAAGCAACAATCGTCAGGAAAAAGATAGCAGCAGTGCTGCTGCTTCAAGTGTTCTTGTACACACAAGAAAAACAGCTAGAAAGCAGAACATTAGAAGAAGTAGTATAAAATAGAACTAGTATGAAACCAATTTTGTTTATATTTAAAAAAAAATCGTGGAAAAAAGTAAAATTCTTTTGGTTCTTTTTATGTTTATTAAATATTGAGGGTACAATAGTTCGTAATTTTTCCCTTAAATTGAATTGTTTCTATCCTTCTTAAGCCCTGATTTACAATTTTACATGCTAATTTTTATCTTCTACAAATCATTCGACCATTTAGAGAAATTGCTGTAATATTTTCATACATATCATAATTACAATTTATATTATTTAATAAAAATCATAAGTGGAATAGCAATTATTAGGGGTTGTCTGTTCACCAGACAGAAAACAATTCTCTCCATAATGATTAAATTACACAAAACAGGATTTTCTATACGTATTTGATGTAGTAAAATTTTAATTTGCAAAACACAATATAATATACCTATACTATGAACCAACATAACTACTATCAAACCTCATGCTATATTATTATTGTTATTAGCTCTGTATGGTAGCAAAGTTTTTTCCCTATGTAAAAATATATATTTCTATATGTATAATTTGACTATATGTGAGAAATAGGGTAAAATTAGATGACTGGTGAAGATTTTTTTTTTGTGCTTTATCTTATATCCTTTAATTGCTATTGCACTAATAAAGAGTTGATTCTATACACTACATAAAATTTGAATTGGAAATGTATAAAAGATTTCCAAAATACAGAAATTGTGTCTTGGCGTTTTTCTTCTTCAAGTAATTTTGTGTTCCTAATTGCATTTTACATTCTTTTGTACATTATATATGGGAAAAAAGTGCTGTGCTTAGATATATATTGCTTATTGTTTTTCCAGTGTGATAAGTTGTGGTTTAAAAAGAAAAAAAAATGTTATTTTGTCTTCCATTGTGAATTATATAATAATTTTTCGTAAAAAGTAAATGCTAAATTGTATATATTTACTTTGAATAATAATACAGTTGATAATGAATGTTGGTTTGCGAATCAGTGAACTCATACTAAACTGGCATAGTGTTACTTATTATTATCATTACACCTTCTTCGGTGAGGAATGCGAGTGAAGACTGAATAAGTTACCCTATGCCGGTTTGGCATAAATAATAGTAAACAATTTATGTTTCTTAGTAGCAATAAATATGGCAGTATGAAATTATAGTAATTTCATTTTTAAATTATATCAATTAATTTAGTTTCTAATAACAATAAGTTTACTAATTAATTGATTTAATATTAAGTAATATTTTTCTTGAAATTATACCAAAAATACTTGACTGTATGGATCAGAGTTGTGGTCTTTTTGTTTTCATTGTTTATCCAATCTTTTTTCAGAGCTTTCAATAATTAGACCACATCCCTAAGCAATACATTCAAAAGATTAACTAAAGTCGGTCATCATTAAATCTACACATACCTGTAATGCCATATCAATATATTTCTAATTGAACAAATTTATACTATGCCCATACCTTAGTTTGTTTTCAATCAATAAATTTAAATCAGTAAAAGGTACTAATTTGCATTACCTTCTTCTAAGACTGAAAATATTTTATGGTAAATTTTATACTCACATCATTCAGTTGTTAATCGATAAATTAAGCATTTTACATTTATGACATTAAAAGTTAATTGATTATTATTTTAACGATCAATGTTTTGTTAAACTGTTTTCTTTGATTTTGCATTCCATTATGTGAGATTGACGATTTAAATAGCTGAAATGTCGGTAAAAACAACGTTGGTTGTATCTTATTTTTACTTTTTTAATACTGCATATTTGTAATGAAAACTTACTCTGTTTTAACATTGCAAGCTGTGGTTTATTTTATATTTACAGAGGTCAACCTCTTTATAGGGGCGTCAGTGGTTACAACAGTTAAGGCGATAACATAACACTAATCACTGTACAGTAAAGGTCCAAAGATTTAAAAAATCTAGTGGCCCTGCATTCTAACCTGGCATACTTACGAATGGGCTTTTCTCTTTTTCAAAAACACTGGCACCCCAAGGGTTCGTATTACCTCTTAACTTCATAACAGAAAAAGAAAAAAGAGGTTATCCTTTTTTTAAGCCTAAAATGTCTTAAAAATTTCTTAATTTATTTTTAGATAAAACTATAACAGTAATTATATTTTTTAACTTTTACCATTTGCACTTATATCATGTGTTATTAATTGTGAATATGCGATAGTTTTATTGTTGTAATTATATGAAATAACTGAAACATTTATAATATAGAAGATAATTCCATACTTCCTTGCACTTGATCAATTCCAAAATTTGACTTGAATCATTTTTCGTTATGTCTAATTCATTTCAAGATAATGTTATTTGTATTGTTTTTCACTTTGAAAATACGAATTGTTATGAATAAGGGAGTAATTAATAAGAGCGGTATAATAATGGTGATTGAATGATTTACTATAATTATTATTGTATATTATTATTACATTGTTTTTAATATTTTTATATGTTGAAAGGACATAAGAACCTGGTGTGTGTGTGTTTTTTTTAAATTTATGTTATACATTAATATAATCCTTTATTTAAATTATACTGGGAATTTAACAACAGAAAACTGAATTACATATCCATTTTTAAAGTGCCTTAATCAACTGGAGTACTCTCATTTCGCAATTTCATTATTATAACCTCAAAGTAAAATGGTTGTTTAGATTTTGTTAACCAGAGCAATTTCTCTATGTGGTAAAATTTAAACAAAAAAGTTTTCAATTTAGATTATTGTTTGCCTTTTCAAGAGATTTATTTGTTAATTTATGTCTTAATTTACAAATTTAATGGCTGTGCGAACTACGCCAAGCAATTTAGCTTTTAATTGTCTGTATAATTTATGAATTATATAAAGAAAGATCTATTTGCTTTTGTCTGGACGGTAAATTTGTAAAAAATCATATTAAATGGACTTTTCTATACCAAGAGAAAGTTACAGCAAATATAATATTTGTACGTCAATGATTGCCAGATCTGGCCTACCTAATTAAGGTTTAACTGTAAAATTGATATGATTCAATTTATTGTATAATAATTATATATGTCATGCTTTTTATGTATTTTAACTTTTACTGATGACGGAAAATTATATTTTATTTGTCTAGTCCGGTTGCTAGTAATTTTGAATGTACTCTCAATTAATATTTCAACATTAATATAATTGAAATAAACACCAAATATTTATAATTTTAAAAAAATCATTTTAAGGGAACAGTTGTATAAAGTAAACAGTATAATAATTATATATGATTTAAAATATGTAATATGTATATTACACATCAGATTTTAATTTTCAAATGCTGACAACTTTTCTTATAGTAAAACCTGTCTTTTCTATATAAAGGCATATGTTGCAACAAAGTGTTAACAATTGTGATTTATAAAAGCTGAATTTTACCTTTTTTATATATTAATTTTGTACTGTGTAATGTGAATTATTTTTTCATAATTTAACAATTTTAAAATATGAAAAAATACTTTTAGTGTTATGTGCTGCTGTAATTTAAAAATAGTACTATTTCATTACTTCAAAACTATTCAGTTTGTCTGATATAAATCCTTAGCGTGTACCAAAAAGTGTAGAATTAATTGTTGTGAAGTTTTTAGCAAATAGTGCGAATTAATTTGTACTTTAAAAGCTGATTTCTTCTTAATGTGACTACTCATTTTTTTCATCTGTTTTATCTAAATATTGATTTTAAGTCCAATTAGCTTAAACAATCATACATGTTATGTTTAAATTAAATTGTGATTGTATGTTGGTTGTACACCATGAAGACATTCCATACAAAGAAAAAAACGTTTACTATTTGTTATTCTTTGATTTATGCGAGATTACATGTATGTATTTTTTATGTACAGTTTTCTTAATACATTATTACTCAATTGTCAGTTGGTACTTTACTGATTTCAAATTATATTTAAACATTAGATTTCTCTGATTGTAGAATAATACGGGTCTAGTTATTGTATCATTTAAAAATGTTTATGAATTATACTACCTTGTTCCCTTTGTCTTTCATTGTACTGTAAGTAATTGGTATATAACTTGTTGCTTTATTTTTTTAATATACTGTGTCTGTCCAGTTGAACATTTTCTTTTATTCTGCTTCCATTCTTATTTTATTTTATTTATGCGTTTATTTGTTGTCTTTCCTTATCAAAACCAAGCCATTTCTAATGGTATAATAAGCTTAATTTTAACACCCCCAGAGGCAGTGAATTATGAGCCAAATTTCTCAGATGGTATGAAACAAAATCAAATATTATTCTTGAAAAACATATTAAAAACCTGTCAAAGATCTTTATCTTTACTGAAATCGTGGTAGGTATATAGAACTATTATGTGAAGTGTAAATGGTATGGTATGGTATGGTATGGTGGAAGGGATGCCGGGAAGCGGGGCTTGTGTTCCCCAGGCACTGCAGCCTTCTGGCTTATTGTACCTTCCCAGTTCCCTAGTTTAGTCAATAGACTCAATCCTTCTTCTCAAAAGTATCAGGTCATTGACTGTTATTGCTGCAATTTGGTTCCCTGAGTCTTTTTCGTACGTTAGGTTAAACCTCCATTGAGCTGTTGCTTCGCATTCAAAGATGATATGAGTGGCTGTTTCCTCCTCCTCATTACATAATCTGCAAATGGGGTCATCGCTGTATATACCCATATTGTGTAGATGTTTTCTCAGATACCAGTGACCGGTTAGTAGTCCCACCACTCCTTTGAGTTTTGCCCTCTCCAATTGCAGCAGTGTTTTTGCCAATTTTGGTGAGGGTTGTTTCAGCATAAGTTTACTATGTCTAGCACCGCTAGAGTTTATCCACTTCTATTTTTGTTTTGCTTGGATCCATTCTGCGATGGAGGATTCTATGTTTGTTTTTGTTATCCCAAGGATAGGTTCGGGGCCTATGTATGGTCTTGCAGATCCTCTTCTGGCCAGTTTGTCCGCCTCTTCGTTACCCAGAATTCCGTCTGTTCCTGGAGATTTGAATGGGCTAAAGTCAAAGCTAAGGTTAAAAACCTGTCAAAGATCTTTATCTTTACTGAAATCATGGTAGGTATATAGAACTATTATGTGAAGTGTAAATAGAAAAAGTTATACAAATTACAGATTGATGCACAACACGGGGCATTGCAAGTGACCAAGTAGTAAATGCCTCTTGTGTATACTATATTTTTGTATATTAAAAAAAGTTCATTACCTATCACAAAACTATTCATTCACCTCACTAGGGAGGAAATTGGGAAATCATTGGCATTTTAGGTTTCTTAAATGATTGTTGCGAAGGATTCATGATGAAAGGTATTGGGATGAGGGTCCTTAGTTTTATGGATTTCGTCCATATCAACTTTTTGCAATCAAGGACAAACAGGATTTCAAGGTTTGTGTAGATTTCGTTGGATATGAAGTAGGGGGCCTGGGCGATGGTTGAAGGATTTTGGACTGGATTGGCTTTGGAGGTTTAATCACTTGGTTGAACCACAATTTTGTTTTTATCAATTAGAATTGATAAAAGAATTAAATAACATCAATATACCCAACAACTGTATTTTAGTGTCATTTGACATTACTAATTTATTCACAAATATCCTACCGTCGCTACCAGCAAGCAGTTCCCCTCGTGGTAGTAACCAATGGAGTAGAAAAATAACATGTAACATTTGCCAATTGATAACAATAAATAAAACATAATAAAAAAGAGGGCACTTAGATATCAAGTGGTAGCCTTGAAAAAGATTTAAAATTAAATCGAACATCGTCCAAGATTTGAAGTTGTTTTCTTTATGCCAACAACCATCGACCGATAATCCCATCACCACCGATACAAACATCACATAAAACATACATACCTTATAATAATAAACATACCTTTTAATAAAAATTTATATATATATATTTATTTATTTATATTTTTTTGTTACTGTAAAATGTCTTTTTATATTGATTTTGATCTGTAAATATATAAATAAATGTATTCATGACTTATTTATGATTACCTATAATGCATAAAGTAAATGGAAATAATAATGAAGTACATTATATACTAAAAGTGAGAATAGTAATGTACAATTTAAGTTATTGCTGTAGAAAAGAGGGAAGGAAAACTGATGGGAAGAATTTGTCCCTCATAAGATTCGATTCCATGGGATCGACTCTTCGTGAGTCCAGGATTCGTTCAACAGTGACACTAGGGAAGGCAATCTTTAATTTATATATTGGAAAACCAATATGTTGAAAACTTTATTGTGAAAAATATATCGATATATTTAATTTAGGTACATTTCGACTATTTTCTAATATCCATATGAGCTAGCACAACTGGAAGAAAAGAACGATGTTAGTAACGGTAAAAATATCCTCATGGTCATGAATAATTATTTAATCCTTATTAAGTAGTAATAAAAAGATATAAAATAGATTAAGGTTATAAAAATTAAGGTTTTTTAGCCTTTCGAGCATGTTTTAGAATTAGCCACTTGTTTTCCTTTTTTCGGTGCTTTAAAATATTAACAAACATTTTTTTTACTTTTTCCCGGGGAAGGTGTCATCATAAAAACGTATTTGAAAATTGTGCGCAGAAACGGACCACGGTTTAGACACAATTAAAATTGTATTCGTATATCGATGCCTCATACCAGACGGCAGTCTCTAATCCAATTTGGCGCATTGACAGTAATATTTTTTTAATTATTTATCCAATAATAAATAAGAAAATATAAGAATAGTCAAGTTTTTGTAAATTAATTTTTTCGTAAATAAAAAAGAACGAATATATCGATATATTTCAAGTATTTACATAATACATCGATATATATGATATATCGATGCCATTCCTAACAGTGACAACAATTTCACTTTTATGCTCAGTACAATCGGAGCCGGCGTCCGGCTGGGTTCGAGTCTCGTCCGGCCTGTTGATGGCATTTCTCCATTCGTACGTTTCGGGTTGTCTTTCGTCCGAATCCTTGCCGACCGAACGCATCGCGTGGTTTAATTTATTCTAATGGGTTACGTCGGCAACGACGGGAAGAGCAACCCTTTCGTCTATCTCGACGTGAAAATCGGCCAGGAAGACAGTGAGTACACCGTTAGGTTATTATTACAAATTGTTTTTATTTTCTTACATTGAATTGCCGTCATCGAGTTTAGTGAAATTCGGTGGAAAGGTTCGTCAGAGAAGACACGAGCGAGTCTCTTCTCAGACGAAACCCATCGCTCAGTTACACCCCAACCCGGCTCTAACTCTTTCATACCGTCGAGATCCGTTCATCGATTGTTTATTTCAAAATAATAATGTCAATCGGAAGGAACAATAATAATAAGGTTGTTTGTATTATTATATTTGTGGTATTTCATGGAGACATAGATTTAGTACTCTGTCCTTTCCCGGTGTAACTGTCACAAAAAAATAAATAAAAAAATAACAATCCGATCGTTTATTTTCCAGTGCGCAAACGGAAAACTAAAATAAGGGCACGTAAACAAATGTAATAATACAATTTAATAGTATAAAGAATTGAATGATAATTGCATTGCATAACTGATAAGCATTAGTGGAGCCTTATCACGACAGAAAAATAAACAAATCAAATTGTCAAGCTCTGGTCACGATTGGCGTTTTCTATGTAAATTGTTAAAATGAGTTCAAATTGTTAACATTGCGTTAGAAAATTTGTACCCGTTTGACGTACTAACTAACAATGGGACGACCGGGTAGGTGTGTCCTTTGTAATTGTATTGTAAAGCACGTTGATCAGCAAAACTCTACAGCATATTCTCAACAAAATTCGAATTCATTAATTTTGAAACAGGATGGTTAGAGGATTAAGGTTAAAAAAGGCGGTCACAAGGCCTTTTGCACCTCGCCCTGAGTAGATCTATTGGGTTCCCATACTCACTGGCTAGCTTCAGGTCAGCTTCAACTTCCATAGTCTTGCTAGTGCTCTTTAGTTTAGGATCTTGCTTGCGGTTTTTCCTCTCCTAGTTGCAAGAACCTGCACCTACATAGACGTTCACAGAAACATAAAATGTGTTCTGCGGTCTCCTCTTCCTGGGGGTACCTGCACCTACATAGTCGTTCTCAGAAACGTAAAATGTGTTCTGCGGTTTCCTCCTCTTCCTGGCAATGTCTTGTTTCTCTTGTCTGTACTCCTATCTGGTGCATGTGTTTCTTAAGTGGCAATGCCATGTCAGGAGTCCAACCAGAATACTGGTTCGGGTGCGGTTGCCTTCCAGTAATTCCTTTGTTGCGGATGGCCCTTCTATGATTCTCTTCTCGTGCCTCATGCCTGCGGTATTGTTCCACCAGATTTTTGTCCTCATTAAGGATCCATTTTAAGATGTATCCTCTTTTGTGGCAGGTTGCTAAGCCACAGTAGGGTTCAGGACCTAGAGATTCCATGTTGGCTCCCTCTTTGGCCAACATGTCAACGTTTTCGTTGCTTCTATGCCTCGAGTGCCCAGGGACCCATGCCAGGGGTCGGGTAACTTACGACAAGGCTTCCATGCAGTTCCAAACACTCTTTGCCTTCACCTCGCATGAGGCTAGGGCCTTTATTGCTGCCTGAGTGTCAGAGAAGAGCTATCTTCCGGGAATTTATTCCTAGCCTTGTTATTTCTCTGGTGCAGTGGTCAAACGCTATGATTTCAGACTGGAAAACTGTAGCATATTTGCCTGGGTTTACCGTCAGTTCGGTCTTTTGACTCATCCCGAAAACTCCAGCTCCCGTAGGTTTTAGAGCCGTCAGTATACCAGTAGGAATTTGCCTAGCGGTGTTCCTTTGGCCCATTCTTCCGGTAATGGTATCAGTACCTTGTACTTTTTAGTAAAATTTTATTTTGGGAGTACTGGCATCGATGAAACAGTAGGGACCAAATATAATTCTGGTTGTACGAATTTATTTATATTGTACAAATTAAAATATTAATAAAATTATAAGTACAAAGTAAATTTAATTAAATGAGTATACATCGTTATTTATAGAATATATATTATTTTTAGTGTAATAATTTCATTGTTGGTTAACGTAAAAACAAAAATGTTCTACGACGCGAAATATTCTAATTTGGTATCATTTAAAAAGATAACTGAAC